TTCCCCCCCCTTTCACACCGTACGACGCCGTCGACCGTCACCGCGCGTCCCGCCCGCGTCCCGGTTCCGCGTGCGCCCGGCCCCGTCGCCCGTCCCAGCGCGTCGCCGTCGATCGCCCGCGATGTCGATGGACATCCACCCATCGACGCGTGCGCACGCCCTCGTCCTCGCGCGCGATCGAGACCCGAGCGCGCGCGGCGATCGCGCGCGCGACCGCCGTCCACGGGCGCCCCCGTCGCGGACGCGGCCGTCGTCGCGTCGCGGCGTCGCGCGCGAGACGCGCGATCGATGGGTCGCCGTCTCGGGGTCTTTGATGGGTCTCTGTGTCTGTGTACTACGTGTACGAATACCATACAGTGATGTCGTCTAGCGGTGTCTGGCGCAGAACGAGCGTGTGACCGCGTGCGTCGCAGCATGGTGTGTGTCTATACGTTATACGTGTACGAATACCATATAGTGATGTCGTGGAATGGTATATGGCGCAGAACGAGCGATGTCGCGTGCGTCGCAGCATGGTGTGTGTCTATACGTTATACGTGTACGAATACCATACAGTGATGTCGTCGAACGGTGTCTGGCGCAGAACGGGCGACGTCACGGCGCGATTTCAAACGCGGCGCGTCGCCACGTCGCGACCGCGCGCGCGCACGCCTCGGGCGTCGCCCACGACGTCCCGCGCGTGCACGCGCGCGCGCGCTCGATGTCGCCGGTGAGCCCGCTGCGACGCGGCGACGACGCGACGACGATGGCGGCGGCGAAACGATCGATCGACGACGCGCTGGCGACCGCGGCGGCGGACGCGACGGCGAGCGCGACGGCGTCGAACGCGCGCGCGGAGACGGGTGAGACGGGTGAGACGACACCGCCCTCGGGTTTGGCGCGGAGTTTGAACGCGACGCGAGGGCCGATGGTGGTGGGGAGTCCGTCGAACGGGATGAGCGGGTTGATTAAGGATGCGCTGCGATTGGTGGAGAAGACGACGAAGGAGGGTGGGAAACGGGTCGAAATCGCGCGCGTGGAGGAGCAATTGAGTTTTGATAAGGGGTTTTACCTCACGATTCGAGCGATTCAGTTGTTGAAGATGGGAATGCCCGATCGAACCATCGTCGTCGGCGTCGCGGGGCCGAGCGGGGCTGGGAAGACGGTGTTCACGAGTAAGATTCAAGAGTTCATGCCGGGAGCGGTGACGCTGTCGATGGACATGTACAACGACGCGAGTATGTTGTTGGAGGGGAACTTTGATGATCCCCGGTTGACGGATTACTCGTGTTTGCTCGATAACTTGAGAGGGTTGAAGAATGGCGAGGCGGTTCAAGTTCCCGTGTACGACTTCAAGGAGAGCAAGCGCACGGGGTACGTCACGGTGCCCAACCCCACGGCGAAGGTTGTCATCTTGGAGGGGATCTACGCTTTGAATGAAAAGCTTCGACCGATGATCGATCTTCGCGTGAGCGTCACCGGGGGTGTGCACTTTGATTTGGTCAAGCGCGTCCTGCGCGACATCAATCGAAGCGGCCAAGCGCCGGAGAGCATCATTCATCAAATCTCCGAGACGGTGTATCCAATGTACAAGGCGTTCATCGAGCCCGATTTGCGCACCGCTCATCTCAAGGTTGTGAACTCGTTCAACCCGTTCCAAGGATTCCAGGACCCGGTGTATATTTTGAAATCCGACCGCGTGCCAGAGGAAAAGCTCATCAAGGCGGTGCTCGGGAACGATTGCCAAATCACGGAGGAGGTAGAGACGGCGGATATCTATCTCCTTCCGCCGAACGAAGACCCAGAGACGTGTACTTCTTGGCTCAGAATGCGTAACCGCGACGGTCACTACACGCTGATGTTCGCCGAGACGGTTACGGATGGACCGATTATGATTTCTCCCCGAATCAAGTTTGAAGTCGGCGTGAGAATTTTGGGCGGGCTCATGGCGCTCGGCTACGTCGTCGGGGCTATCATGAAACGACGCAGTAAGGAATATAGCGACGATTTGCTCACGATCAAGACGGATTGGGTCGAGGGTCTCGATCGCTCGTTTGTCCAAGTGCAAGGTCGTCTGCGTTCGGCGGTTGAGGCGGCTGGCCGAAAGCTCGGTCTCGAAGGCACGTACATTCCGCACTCTTACATCGAGCAGGTGCAGCTTGAGAAGCTTACGCAGGAGCTCACGTCGCTCACGGACGATCTGAAGACGCGATTCCCCATCACGGAGTCCATGCTCACTTCGGCGACGGATTTCTCTGGCGACTCGGACGACGGCGTCTCGCCCGACGATCACGCTCGCACCAGACGCTCTCCCGGGGGAAGCGACAGCGGCAGTAAGCTACCTCCACATCCGCCTCGTCCGAAATCCGCCGCGCCGGCGAATTGGGGCGGTTATGGCCTCGACGACCCGGCGGACGGAGCGTATTACGCGACGCCGCCGCCTCGAAGCCAGAGCCGTGGCCCGAGCCGACACGGTCGACCGTACGAGACGAGCGATCGCGGCATGACGAGTCCGGGCAGACGTACACGCACGAAGAGTCCGAGCGGGAAGCGTACGTCGCCCACCGGAACGGGTTCGAGGGACTTGGAGTTGAAATTCGATTGGCTCGCCACGCGCGTGGAGAAGCTCGGCGAGCTTCAGCGCGCGGCGTCTGCGGAAATCGCCTCCGATTACGTCGCCACCCCAGGGGGATCCCGAGTCAAAGAATCCGAAGTATTAGCCCGCGAGCTCCAAAACGTCAACGCCAAACTCGACGCCATGGCTTTGAGCGTGCAACGCCAACAGCTCGACGTCGCGCGTCTGGAGATGCGCCAGGCGCTCGGCGCCGTCGCCGTCGGTACCCTCATCGTCGCCGCCGCCTTCGTCGCCGGCGCCTCCGGTCGACGATGAACACGCGATGATGCGTCATCATCGCCATCTGTACACTAATTCAACAGCATCGCCGTCGGCGCGATCGTCGTCGACGCCCGTTCAAAACTAAACAGTCCTTGTGAACATCATCGAATAGACACGACGCACCGATCACCCCCAATCAAAACTCTGATTTCCCATAGTCGAGCCCGTGATGACGTCCACCCCGAGGAGGTCGAAACCCTCACGCGAGACCGCAGCGACGTCACTCACGCGCGCGCACGTCGACCGCGATGTTCGCCGCCGCCACGACCCGACATCAATTCACCACCTCCACCGTCGCCCTGAAGACGCCGACCACGCCGGCGCGGGCGACGCGCGCGACGGGAATCACCGCCGCCGCGCAGACCCTCGAGGGCGTCGTCGTCTCCCAATCGGGCGCGAAGTCCAAGGTTGTCCTCGTCGAGCGCAAGGTCCCGCACCCGAAGTACATCAAGCGCGTGAACGCGTCGAAAAAATTCATGTTCCACGACGAGAACGATGGATGCAAGGTTGGCGATCGCGTGGAGATTAGCGCGTGCAGGCCGATGTCGAGGAAGAAGCGATTTCAGCTGAACAAGGTGGTGTACGCGTGCAAGACGGACGTCGATTGCCCGGTGGCTTAAATTGGTGACGGATGACGGTGTGGATTAATTGTATGAGAGCCCCAGAGGGGGTTGGCGGACGAGAGGCGCGCGCGCGGGAGGCGGGAGACGTCGATTCGTGATGTTTGGCGGAAACCCTAAAGGATATAGGGCCCCAAGGCGCGCGAAGCGCGGATGATTTTTTAGGACGACGAGCGTCGCAGTAGATGATAACGCGAATTTGTGTATACTCTAAAGTGAGCGAATTCTTTCGAATTATGACCTAGCGCCTGCGCAAGACGCCTCGAGCGACGACGAGAAAATCGGCTAAATTTCTACGAAAGCGACGCTTGTTGATGCGATCGACGCCCTCGGTGAGGTTGTTGGCGGACGTGAGGGCGACGAACGCGTTCTGGACCAAGGTGACGCTTTGCGGTTCGTCGGCGACGGCGGCGAGGAATGAGCTGGCTAAGGTTTCGAACGCCTGGCGCTCGTGCAGGATGATGGGAAGGAGCGCGTCTGCGGCTTCGTCGACGAGATCGAACACTGCCTCTTCGTACACCAATCGCTGGAACAGCAGACGCATGAGATGGGCGAGGATGCTCAAACCTTCCGCGTTCGGAGCCATATGATGACCCAAACCGTCGGTTCCTGTCTTGACGCTTTGTCGCTGAAACGTTGCGAGTGCGCTAAGCGCCGTCATGCTCTCCTTGCTCACCGTTTCGTTGGAATGCTTCAGACCAAACTCGAGCGTCGTCATGAGCGTGCTGAAGACGTTCGCCGGGAGTTTCGCCACTTTTTTCGGGTACGCCTCCAGCATATAAGATAGAAGCTCGAAGTACTGCCTGCACAACTTGGGAAACTGTAAGAGTTCGTCGTTGATGAGCGGGATGACGGTGTTCAAGCCAGTGAAGACGACGTGCGCTATGTCGATTTGCTCCGTGAGCCTTGCGGCTTCCTCCGGTGAGACGGATTCCACGATCGCGTCGTGCAAATTACCACTCGATAAGTGTGTAAGCATGCGCAAGAGCGCTCGCACTTCCTTATACGCCTCCTTCACCGCCTCTTGACTCATGAGCGAACCGGCGGATGATTTCACGTTTCCTCGTCCCGAGCTTGCGTACGTCTCAATCACGCGTAAGCAATAGCGACATATCCAATCCACTTGTTGCGCATTAAGATACGGAGAGTTAAATTCCACGAACTCTTCCGTCAGGCGCAGCAGGAGCTTCATCACACGCGGTAAATCCTTGGCCAGTTTCTGAAGGTTTAACAGGTGATCGATAGCCGCGGCGAAAAAGTTGAAAATAGCCTTTTGGCTCTTTCCATTAGTCGCGCGAACGATTCCTCTCAGCGCCTCCAAAGCAGCACCTGTGCGCGCCTCACCCTCGGGGCTATGCAAAGCAACGGAGTCCACCGAAACCGCGGCTATGACTTCGCTCGGAGGGGTGATGAGGTGGGTCACGTACGCCTCGCACTCGGCTGGATCGACAATACTCCCGGCAACTCGCGCCAGGCACTCGCTCAGCCCACGATGGACTTCTGGTGAGAACGACACCACGCCACGCTCGCGGTGCGCACCCGCACACGCCTCTCTTAGCGTCGTCCACGAATGTGAAGTCGTCAAGTGCTTGAGTAGCATTTTTCGTCGTGTGAGCACTGGAAACAAGGTGAATCCCACCGTTCTATGCAAACTAGTCTCTCCCTGCCACTCGCTGAGTGCTTTCGTTCCTATTTGAACGAGCAAATCGAGCGCTTGCACACCCCCATTGCGTTCGCTGAACATTCCACCCCCGCTCTCGCCGAGTTTATTCGCGATGTCTGTGCCTCGTCGAACGCCGCCAGCGGCGGCGTAAATCGCGGCGTGCAGATTTCCTCCAGAATCTTCTGAAATCAGATACGTATCTGCCCAACGAGCGAGAGCCCAAATGACGGTCTCGAGCAAACGCGGCGAGAGCGCCCCTCGAGCGCTCGGGTCTAAAGCTAAGCATCCAAAGTCGATAAGGGCTTTCGCAAGTTCGCTTACGCAATCCGGCACCCCTGCCGGGGCCGCAGCGGCCGCCTCCGCGAGCGAGTCCGGTGGTATGGGCGTCTCACCGTCGCCATCGTCCGCAAGAACGTGAGCGACGAGTCGCGTCAACCACCATAACTCTTCTAAAAGCTCACTTGGATCCGCGCCGCTCGCCATGACTCCCGGAAGCGCCGAACGCTTTTCGACCAAAGCCTGCTGCAACATTGGAAGCGTCGATGGCGGGTACGCTCGAAACACTTGCGCGGCGAGCTCTAGTCTCGCATCTAATGCAGCGGCACCGGCTTTACCTTCCTCTTCGTGCCCGTCATCTTCTTCATGTGCGCCCTCTCTGGCGGCTTTCAATCCGGCGGCGACGTAGGCGTGTGACACGTTCGCCGCGCCTTCTAATACGGCCGGCGGCGTAGCCATGGCCGGGTCTCTACTGACAAAGGCGCCGCTTTTCACGAAAAAGTCATTCACTAAGGAAGCCCACGTCTCAAGGAGCATCTTCAAGCAGTCATCGACCACTGTTCCCTCGCAGTGAACCGAGAGCGCTTCTTGATTCAAGCACTCGAGGGTGAGCTCTCCCAACAACGCCAGGGCGGTTCTGTCATTCAAATCGGGTCCGAGCGAGAGCGTCGCAAAATCATTCGCCGTGTGTACGGTAGCTAACGCTGATAACGAGCGACATCCATCGATGAGAGCGTCCTCGCCGTGACCCTCGATGGCTGCGCTTACGCTCTTTGTTGCGGGCAAGAGGTACTTGGCAATGGCGCGAGCGCAGCGCACAAAGTGTCCCGTCCGTAAGCTATCATCGTTTTCCTTCGGTGGGAACACGCATCCACTCAACGTACAGAGCGCGCTGAGAGTTTTACGACTCGCTGCGGCGACGCGCTTGGCCTCGTTACCGCCGCCTGAGAGCACGGCGCTCTCTGCGCCGGCGTGTAAGTCAAACAACCAATCCAAAGACCCGGGACTGAGCAACACCTCCCGCCATTCGATACCTGGCGTGAGCTTGACGAACGCATTGGCCGCGCTATCGGTGCTCGGAAACGCCCGTCCGCGAAACCCATAGCTCACGTCTCGATTGAAATCCCAACTCAGAACGGCGTTCATCAGTCGCAGCGCCGCCGCGCACGTCCCGCGATCCCTCCCATCGCTCACGCTCCCATCCGCCACGCACGCCCGCGCGCGCTCGCATCCGTAATCAAAAAAAGGCCTTAAAAAGTGTCTCTCCGCGCTCGCTCGACACCGCTCGTGTCGCTCCCAGGTCGTCCCGAGCTCGCTCGCCGTGCCCGGCGCGAACTCCCCGACGACCGCCGCGAACACCTCCAACCCAACCCGCGCGGCGTCCGCCCCCCCACCGCTCTGCGCCGCGCCTCTCACCGCCGCTTCCACGCTCGAGATCACCGCCATCTTCTCCTCATCACTCGCGTCGACGCACGCGCGCTTGACCAGCGTCGCCGCCGTCCCGCTCATCTGATTCCTCACGTACTGCGCCGCGTCCGGGCGCTCCAGCGTCCATCGCACCGCGTACTCCCACACCTCACGTCGCGTTCCCGCCTCCAAGGTCCCCCATCGACGCAACGCGCTCTCCCTGAGCGCGCACACGGCGTGGAACTGACAATCGGAGGACACTGAAACCTCACTCAGCGCCGCCCTCGACGTCGCTAACGCGTCGTCACTTCGTCGGAACTCGATCAAGAACGCCTCCGCGGCTTCTCGCGTTTGCGGGTCACGGAGCGAAGCGGAGGCGCGCTCGAGCGCGGCGACGTCGGCGAGCATAGGGGCGTCGGGGTGTGTGGCTTTGAAAAGAAATTGTTCCACCCAGTCACATAGTTGGACTCGACGTCGATTTCGGAGCGATGTCGACGGACGTTATGCGCGCGAGAGATGTCGAGGGATCGTGCAATGACGTTCGACGGTCGATGCGCGAGTTGGAGGTCGTGTACGGCGACGTCGACGCCGTGATGGCGAGCGCGGGCGTCGGCGGAGAAGCGCGCGGCGCGTTGCGTTCGAGCGCTCAAGGATTGATCGAGTTAGCGGAGGACGATGGCGATTGCTCGAGCACGGCGTGCGTGTTCGGGGTGGAGCACACCGAGCGGGCGATGGAAGCTTTGATCGGATGCGTGAGAGATGGGTACGATGCGGTGGTCCCGTTCGCGGAGAGAGCGCTCTCGGCGACGACGGAGGCGGAGACGACGTGGGCTCTCTCGCGCGAGCGTGGGTCCGAGAGAGAACTGGAGGATGTGAAAAGTCGTGAAACGGGGCGAAAGGAGCGGTTGGCGCACGCGATGGCGGCGATGCGCGATGTTTTAGCGTTTGAGGAATTTTTGGCACACGAGCGCTCGAGGCGCAGACTGGACGTGGAGGGCGCAGTGAACGCGCGAGATGCGCTCGCGCACCGCGAACGGCGCTTGCTCGATAACGGTGGTGTCATAACGGACGTTCAGGCTCTCGAGATGGCGGTCCATGAGCTCGAGGCACGGCAGAGGATGTTGGCTTTGATTGGAGGCGTTCCTCGCGTCGCGGCGTACGGACGATTTCGTGCGGCGAGCGATGATCCCGGGTACGATGCGTGCGTCGCGCGATGCCTGCCGGCGCTACTCGCGCAATACGTGACGTGGATCAAAGACGCCGCGCTCGAGGACGCGAAAGAGCGTTCGCGGTCGATTAGAGACGCTGCGCTTGCCCTTTCGGCGTTCGTCGGCGACGAGCTCATCGAAGCCGACAACGCGCGCGGATGGACCAACATTCTGTGCGCGCTCTACAACGCCATCGCTGTGCTCGTGTCCGTCGAGCCACCGCCCGACCGAACCGACACGTATGAAGATCTTCGTCGCCGTGCGACGATTCGCGCCGCGGAAACAACTGAGCGCATCGCCGCCCGATCCACCGACACGTGGAACGAGGAGCGATTCGGCGTCGAGGCGATGAATATGGCTCTCGAGCGCTTACTAAGCGCCCTCGACGCCTCCGATGCGTGATCCAATTTCATCCAACGTTGTAGCACTCGTTGAACCGGCTCGTGAACCGCACTTTTTGGCTCGACATGCTCGTCCGGACCTTCGTCGACCCCGCCCTCGACCGCCCTCGTGGACGCGAACGAAGTGATCATCGTCGTCGTTTGCGTGCGAATCGATCAAATCGCGTGAAGTGCGCGTCGACGAATCGAAACGAAGGATCAGAGTTACAGTTACAAAATATCTCAACCGAGAAATCAATTGCGCTCTCCCGAAGGTCGCTCCTCGCGTTCGGGACGTGCGCGTGCGGAACGTGCGTGGGCCCTCATGCCCTGGCGAACGTGTCGTTGATCGAACCGGATGTGAAGCTGGAGACGACGTTTGACATCGCGCGTGACGCGAAGCGGGACGAGGCGTTCTCGCGCGGCATGGCGACGATGATGGGCGGGTTCGAGAGCGCGGTTCGCGAGCGCAAAGCCAGGCTTTTCGATGATTTATTGAGTCGGAGCGAACGGAGCGGTGAGATGTCTGTGTTGGAAATTGGGGCAGGGAGCGCGCCGAACGCCGAGTTTTTCGCCAGAGCGGCGAGAGCGAGCGGACCGTCGAATGTGGACTTGATATGCCTCGATCCGAACGATTCAATGCGAGATTACGCCGAGGAGAATCTACGACGATTTCGTTCGGTGGGTGATCGACCGGTCGAGGCGAGATTCGTGCATGGCGTCGCAGAGGCGCTTCCTCTGCAAGACGCGAGCGTCGATGCGGTCGTAAGCACGCTCACGCTGTGCTCAGTGGTTGATCAGAGACAGGCGCTGCGAGAGATTCGTCGAGTGTTGAAACCCGGGGGAAAATTTTTGTTTCTCGAACACGTACTCTCGGAGACAGATCCGAAGTTTGCGCGATTGCAAGAGTCCTTGACGCCCATGCAGGTGAGCGTCGCCGATGGGTGTCATCTGAATAGACGCACGCTGCAAGAGATCCAAACTAGCGGGTTTCGAAGCGTCGACGGTGAGTATTACGAGTTGGACGGATTCTGGGTGATCGCCCCGCAGGTATGTGGCATCGCCGTCGCTTGATGATGTATTAAAAGAATAAAGAATTATGATGACTCCCGCAAGTGCTTGACAAGCAAACACTTCTTGTACAGTCTGAACTCCACGGCGAGACGCAATCGGGGCGGCGTATCTTCGGCAGAAAATAGCTTCTCATCCTCCTCGATCGTGGTCCTCATGGACATCAGCATTTCCTCGCATCGCTTCTTGATGGCGTGCAACACGATGTGGTCGGCGTTTTCATCCGGCATGAGCGCCTTGGTGAAGTGTCTGAACATCAACCACAACGCCTCGTCATAATCCGTCTTCCATCCCACGCTCGGTCCCATGAGCGTCGACTGCACCTCTCGAAGCCTAATCTCAGCCGATTCATCGGCTACGGCGTCGGCACCGCCCGCTAAACCGACGATAGACGCGCGCTCTCGCGCTCGTTGCTGCGCCTCGAGTTCCATCGCGACTTGTCGACCCGCCGCCTTGTCCAGAACCACCTCTCCACGCTCGCTCTTGAAAGTCTCCGCGAACCAATCCGCCGCGGCCTCGAGCGATGTCCAAAGCTCAACACGGTCATACGGATTCATCCCGCCCACGAATCCCATGTGCAGCAAAAACGATTCGGCGGGTTCGCACGCATACTGCGTCAATAGCTCCTCCCCACTCTCGATCGTCCTGAGCGCTCGCAGCACGACCGCGTCGCCGTCATCGCTCGGGTCCCACTTTACGTTCGCCGCGGTGTGCGAGTGATTCACCATGTCCAGTACCGGGGCCAGAAAACTCTCGCCGTGCTCCAATCCCACCGCTCGGCTCCGAACGCACGCGCGCGCCCAAGCGAAATGCTTCGCCCAACTCTCCGCCCCGTATTTCTCCAACAATCTCCGCTCGACCTCATCGTCGCGCGATTTCGTCTTCGCGCAGTTCGCGATCGCTCGGACGAATCCGAGCTCCCCGATCTCCGCTTTCGTCCACTCCGTCGTCGGCGTCTCCACTCGTCCCGGCAGCGCGACGCAATACGCCTCATGCGTCCCATTCTCCGCTCGCGTCGCCGCTAACGTCGCCGCCAATCGATCGCTCGCCGTGTAAAACTCCCTCGACGACCCAACCGCGCCGTCGTCCAGCGGGCAGACGTTCTTTCCACATCTTAATCCGGATGTCCCGACGCACGCGCTGAAGGGGACTCTCAGGGCCACCGAGTTGGTCTTCAAGGTCGATCCTTCACGGACGCGAACGGATCGGTCGTTCGTGCGTTCGTCCTCGTAAATCTCCACGTCGTTGAGTTCGATCCCGAACGAGGAGGCGAAGGCGACGAGGGGGTGGTCGTTCGAGAGGGCGGGCATGGCTCAGAGGAGAGGCTCGGAGTGCGGCGCCGCGTGGGCGACGCTTGGATGGAGCGTTACCGTCACGTGCCTACGCAGAGTCTGAGAGAAATTTGTCGTCGTTATCGTCATATGTCTACGTGGAGTCTAAGAGAAACTTGTGATCGCGCGCGATGGCGCTGATGGGCGTTCGAAGCGATGGCGTCGCAGGAGCGTCAGTGGAGGCGACAAGGGCGTCGAGCTCACGCTTCATCGATGCGAGCTTGCGCTCGTACGAGAGCTTTTGCTCTCGGAGTTTGCCGTAAACCTGTTTCGCGACGGATTTATAATAGAGTGCGCGCTCCTTCGTGGACTCGCACACCTCGAGAGCGAGCTCAGTAGCTTCTTTCGCCGCTGCCATGGCGGCCTCGCCTCGTTCAGGTGAAGCGCGCTCGGGTGAAGGCACGCTCGCACTCGAGCGCGGCCGTGGCTCGGTTTGAGCACGCTCTCGAGTCACTCTGTCGATTTCTTCCTGTAAGCGCCTCGCGTACGCGTCGTGATCCGCCTCTGCGGCCTCGGCCTGGGCGACTTCGTGAGCCAGATAATCCGCGAACGAGGCGTCCGTGGCGTTTCGTCTCGCTCGCGGATACGCTTCCTCGCGACGGTGTGCGCTCTCCATCTGCTTGAGCTGCGCGCTGAGGCATTCTAGGGTCGCCTTCTCTTCAGACTTGACCGCGCTAAGCGTTTCCTTCACCTCGGCGAGCTCTTTGCGAAGTTCATCGATAACGGACGATTGATTCGGGGACGTCTCCAGAACCACCGGGTGCGTCTCTCGCACTCGCATGAGCTCGCCTCGGAGCTCGTCGATGGTTCGCTCCAATCCGTGCGCCGCGCGTTCGTGCTCGTGCAAGCGAGACTCCACTTGCTGCCTAGCCTTGATCTCATCGCTCGTCTTCTGCAAGGTGGCCTTGAATTTGCACGCGAGTGCAAAATTCTCATCCTTCAGCTTTCTCACGAGCGCGTGCGCAGACTCACTCTTCGTGATATCCGCGCGCAACTTTGAGCGCTCGGCTTGGAGACGACTTATCTCATTCGACTGTCTCGAGGTTAATTCTACCAAATCGCGATTCGTGGCCACCAAATTCGCCACGTTCATCTTACGAGAGCCAGAACTTGAAGCTCGCGCTCGTGCGTTCTTCACGGGCGACGGCGTCGAAGGATCTTCGCTCTCCGGTTGAGAGTCGACGTCTACTTCCGTTTCCTCGTCGGCGAGTTGCGCCGCGATCAAGGCATCATCTAATTGCGACAGAAGATCACGCTCACGCTCGCGCATGGTCACTAGTTCTTGCTGTAAGTGGTCGTTGTACTCGAGCGCGGTTTCGAGCTCGGTGGTGAGATCGACGCGCTTGTACTCCTCCAAACTCGCAGCCTCAGCGACGGCTCGCCGAGCGTCTTGAGCCTCAACGAGCGCTCGCTCCTTCTCGACTCGCGTCTGTTTCAGCTCGTACTGAACTTCCTCCAGCGAACTCGCGAGATCTTGCATGCTCAGCATCGCCGCCGCGTATTCCTTCTCGAGCTCTGATTGCTTCACCGAGCCATCCACCGTAACGCACTGCAAGGCGCTTTCAAATTCAACTTTTTGTGCGCGAAGGACGTCGACCTCGGACATGGCACGAGCTGTGGACGCCTCATTTGCCGCCGCTCGTGTCTCCGCTGCCGCGAGCAAACGACGCAACTCGTCATTTTCGGCGTTCTTAGCCTCTATCACGGCAAAGACGTCAGACTCAGACTTTGAACTCTCCGCGCGATGCAAAACGATTTCCCCCTCAGAGCGCTCGAGTGCCGCGCGTAACTCAGTCTCACTCGCCTTACGCCACGACACTTCGTTTCGTAACTCCTCAAGCTCCTGTTCCATTCGTTCACTTTCGCTCTGATAATAAATCTTTTCGTTCGCCGTTTCCTGTACCTCGTCCAAGCGTGTCGTGAGGCGTTCGATTTCTGCCCGAGCCTGCGCGAGTTCGTCTTCGAGCTGCTTCGACGCCACATCGCTCGCTTCCGACGCGAGCTCTCTCAGCATCACCAAATCGTCGTCAGCGCGCTTTTGGCTCGCGCGTGCTTCGCTTAGCGCCCGTTCGCTCTGCTCGAGGCGAGATTCGAGCTCGATGGCCCTTCGCATGGCGTCTTGCGCCTCGGCCTTGGCCTCCACGAGTGACGTCTCCGCTCTGACGCACTGCGTGTTCGCCGCGTCCATCTTTGCCCATACCTCGCGCGTGGCCTCCTTAACCGCGCTCTGCACTCTTCTCTCGGTGTTTTCTATCTCATTCTGCTTGTCCTCGAGCGTGAGCTCGAGTTCGCTCACGCGCGCTTTCAATCGAGCGTTGTGTTCGTTGGACACGACGAGCTTGCGCGTCACCTCGCGGCTCTTACGCTCGGAGAGCAACCGCGTGCGTTCGACCGCGACGGCGACCGTGGGATCGTCCAAATTCGGTGAAGCAAACGACGCGTTCGCTTCGTCTTCGTCGTCCTCGCTCTCTCCCTCGAGCGCCGCGCCCTCCATGTCCCGCACGCTCGACGACGCGTCCGGACTCGCCACCACGGCACCTTCCAATCGCCGTTCAAGCGCCTCCACGACGTCTCGCCCGTCCTCATCCTCACCCTCGCTCGCCCTCTCTTTCTCTCCCGCGCCCGCCGTCGCGAACGCCGACAGCTCGCGACTCCTCGCCAGGCGCTCGCGCGTCCGAGTCATCTCTTCCTTCCAGCTCGACCCACCATCGCTCGTCTTATCCCCACGCATCGATTTCCCTCCCATCGCGCGCGCGCTTCGTCGCTCGTCCCACGCGCGCGCCATCTTCTCCGCCGTCTTCGCGCGCGACGGCGAATTCAAACGTCGCGCGCCCGAAGCGTCCGCCGACCGACATCCATCCACCGATCTCGACCCGCGCCCCCCCGACGCCGCGCGCGCGAACACCGGGGGCGTGTTCTCATCCCCCACCGCGCGCGCGTCCACGCCCGCGTCCTCGGGCGTCGGCACCGACCGTTTATCCATCGAATCGCCATCGCCATCGCCATCGGCTCGAATCCCATCGTCGTTCAAATCACCCCCGGTCGCGTCCGCGTTCGCCGCGAGCGGGCGCAGGGGCCGTCGCGCGCGCGCGCGCGGCATCGCGCCCGCGTCCACGACGTTGCGCGGTGGCGTTCACGCGCGGTGCCGCGCCGAGTGACCCACGCGTGGTCGTCGCATCAACGGTCATGCGCACGACGCACGAGTCATGACTCAAGAACGACCCCCTCTCTGACGCGCCATCACCCATCGCCCGGCACGTCGCGACGCGTCCGCCATGCGCGCGCGGTGTCGCCCGCGAGGCGAGGTCGTGGACCACGGCGGGGTGGTTCCGGTGCGATTGACCGTTCCGGGGCTGGGAAGCGGCGCGCGCGCGTTCGCGGTGCGTCGACGATCGATGCGATGCGATGGATGGTTGGATGGATGATGCGTGGGCGTTCGCGGTCGCGTGTGGGCGCGCGCGGTCGCGAACGCGCGCGCGCGTGGACGCGTGATGCCTCGGACGCGTCGCGCGCGCGACGGGGTGGGACGGAGGGACTGACGACGACGACGACGGCGCGGTAGGCGGCGCGCGAGGCGCTCTTGGACGCGTCGCACGGCGCGGATCGAATCTCGGTGGACGTCGCGGCGAGAGCGCTCGGAACGTCGAATGAGGCGATGCGGATCGTGTTCGACGCGATGCGAGCGACGAGTGAGCGATATTGGGAGGATGTTACGTCGGAGGAGGAGTCGACGTGCGAGACGCGGCGGTTGTGCGCGTTTCTGTTGACGTTGCGTTACACCGCGGCTGGGGGGCAGTCGACGTCGGTGTTGAGGGATGACGGCGCGTTCGGGGCTTTCGAGGAGACGAGCGCGGAGAGCTCGGGGTCGGAATCGGGGGGTAAAGCGGCCCCGATGAGTCCGCCGTCGAGGAGTCCGTCCAAGTGGGCCGCGCTTCGACGGGGACGCGAAGGGTCTGGGCACGGCGAGGGCGGTGGCGACGCCTTCGGCGCGTGGTCGAGCGAAGGAGACGACGACGCGTTCGGAACTTTTCTATTTCAGAACTGGGACGCCGTCGCGCGAGGGTGTCAGTTGACAAAGGAAGGATCGTCGACGCTCACGCGCGACGAGGTGGAATGTTTGGATTTCCTCTTCGAAGTGCGTGACGAACGGGGAGAGAGATCGACTTTAGCGAAGTGCGCGCTTGGGAACGATCGCGAGATCGACGTCACGCATCTCCGAGAGTGGGTGGCGCGACATATGGATCCGCTGCACGCCGCGGCGACTTCGACATCCGCGAGCGCCGGCGCCGTCTCCAACGTGAGCACCGTCGCCGCCATCGCGGAAATGGCTGTGACCGTGGATGAATCAACATTAAAGACCGTCGTCACGGTTGACGGCGCGCACAAGACGACGGTCGTTCGACGACAAGGTTACGAATCCACTCGAGCGGCTTCGGGGAGCGCGGCGAGCTGTCGAACGTCGCCGAGAGATTTGCCCACGTTCGGGTCGCCAGGATACATCGCTGGCGCCACGCCCACCGCCACGATCACGGACTGTACGGATTCAATCATCTATTTGTTGGAGCCGTATCATTACCTGAATATATCGGGATGCGTGGATTGTACCATAATTGTTGGCGTCGTCGCTCGGTCGGCGCGAGTGGAGCGATGCGAGCGAGTGACACTAATTTGCGCCGCCAAGCGCGTTGCCGTGCGGTCGTGCTTCGATTGCACGTTTCACCTGGGGATCACACGTCAGCCCGTCTTCGTGGGGCACAATCGCAAGTGCGTCTTGGCGCCGTACAATACGTTTTACGAGCACCTCTGCGAACACCTAGCCGAGGCCAGACTCGTGCCGGATGAGTGCACGGCGTGGGATCGCCCCGCAGTGCTTGGTACGGATGTCACCATAAAAGACAGTTCGACCTCGCCGCGCGCGCCGGACGTCGTGCGCATATCCAGCGGCGTTGCGCTCATGCCGCCGGATGCGTTTTCACTTTTCATCATTCCTTTTCGTAAGTTCTCGCCAGAGGACGTCGACGTCGGGGCCGATACAACTCCCCCCACGCCCTCAAGCGTGGCACCGATAACACAGGCAAATCCATTCAACACCCCCGCGAGTTACGTGAACGCCCTGGACGCCAAGATGCAGCGCATAGGTGACGTCCGGACGCTCGTCCGCGACGCCCCGCTCGCCGACGTCACGCGCGCCGAACTCCAGGGCGCGATTCAGAGCCACTTCAAGTCTTGGCTCCAACAATCGGGAAAATCTCGAGAGGTTTTCGATCTCTCAGCGATCGATCGCGACGAACTCCTAGGCTCGACATCGCGCCGACACACCGTGTAACTCGACGTCAACTCTTCGGCGCTCAACCCGCCATTGGATTCGCGTGAATCGTCACCCGCTCTATTCTCACCTCCCGCACCGGTCGATCCCGCTCATCCACGACGAGACGTTCCAACGAATCCAGCGTCCCGTGTCCATCGATCACCCTTCCAAAAATCGTCACCCGTCCGTCCAGGTGCGGAAGTTTCCCAAACGTCACGAAAAACTGACTCTGATTCGTGTTCGGTCCCGCGTTCGCCATCGCCAGCGTCCCTCTGGCGTTAAATTTCAAATGCGGCACGATCTCATCCTCGAACGCGCCGCCGAACGCGCTCCGCCCCCCCCGTCCCGTGCCCGTGGGATCGCCCGTCTGTATCATGAATTGCCTCTTGCACCGATGAAACACGCATCCGTCGTAGTACCCGCTCGCGCACAGCGCTAAGAAGTTCTCGCACGCCCGCGGGGCGTCGGCGCAGTGCAGCTCGAGCTTCAAATCACCCAGCGTCGTCCCGAGCGTGACGGACATCGCGCGCGGTGGACTCACGCGGGTGGGCCCACGCGTACTGTGGCTGTTTTCAACCCATCTATCATGCATTGACGCGTCGTTCACACCGCGACGCGCGCGCGGACGCGCCGACGCGCGCGCGCGCGACGCGTCGGCGCGAACGACGGAGGAGACGATCGTGAAAAAAATCACGCGTCGATCCATCGCGTCGCGCGCGGCGAGGCGTCGGTGATCGTCGCGACGTCGACGCGATGGAGCGACATCGCGCGGCGTCTGGCAATGATCTTCTCGACGCCGCGCTCGTGCTCGAGCGCGCGTCCACGTCGAGCGCGCGCGATGGTGAGGCGCTGCGTCGAGCGGCGTTCGCGCTGGCGACGATCGGATCGAGGGTGACGGGCGAGGCGGGGGGACGGGAGACGAATGCGCGGGCGCTGCGAATCTGCGCCGAGACGTTGGTTCGCGCGCGCTCGTCGCGGTTCGCGCGCGATCGAGACGTGACGCTCGCGTCGTGGGCGTGCGTGGTGTACGTCTACCGCGCGCTCGGCGTGCGGGCGAATCGGAGCGATGGTGAGGGATTGGAGCTGTGCGCGAAGGCGTGTACGCTCGCGCTCGACGTCGACGACGCGGGGGACGACGGATTGAGGTGGGAGATCGCGGCGTTCGCGCTCGGTGGGTTGGCGAGAGCGATGGGAGGCGCAGACGGTGTGGCCGCGGAAAAGCTGGAGAAGACGGCGGATGGGGGACGGATGTTGGGCGCGGCGCTCGCGCGGTGGACCGCGCTTAGATCGACGATGAGAGAGGCCGAGAGCAGCAGAGAGTTGAAAGCGGCCGATCTCGCGCGTTTGTGCGCCATAGTGAGCAAATCGCCAGACGGTGCGGCGGCGATGGGCTTTTGCGATTGCGGCGGCGTCCAGGCGCTGCTCGCGTTGATCGACGTAGGCGACGAGGAATCGAGCGACGGGCGCGAAAAGCTCACGAGCGCGGCTATTTTCGATGTGGCGAAAGCGCTGGCGGGATTCTGTTCCGCGTCATCAAAGAGTGGTGCGAGATTCGACGCGATATGGGTACGAAACGAGCTGAGCGCGATTCTCGCCTCGGCGTCGGGGAAGATTTCCGATCCTCTGCCCGCCGTGGCGGCGACGCTGCTTCGACAGGCGGTGTCGTCGCTTGAGAAGCGCCAATCGTCTGGTTCTTCGGCGCGACAACTAACGACCGCGCTCGAGCGAGAGGCTTCGGGATACTTAAATATAGGGGATTGTCGCCCCGCGCTCGGCGACGTCGGCACCACGAACGGCGTCGGTGTGTCCAAATCGTTTGGCTCTCGAATCGAACTCGTGAGATCCCTCTCATCGAGCGATTTATCCCCCGTCAAGGCTGCCTCCTCCTTCGGCGGCTCAGCAGATTCATTGTCCACCCCCCTCACTCGCAAGCGCTCGAGCTCGGGTTTACTTCACTCCAAATCCGGAAAGTCACCCACCAAGGCGCGAGCCACGCGTGCCAGACGCTCTCGTCTCCGTCTCCTCATCGCCCTCTCCATCGTCACCGCCGTCTGCGTTCTCCTCTTCATCCGTCACGGTCGTCGGCCTTTATTCTAGCCTCTGTTGTATAGCGGTCACGTCATCGAAACACCCACCCGCACCGTCGCGTTCCGTCGTATTATCCGCCGCTCGACGACGCAGACAGTTGGAGAGGCCTACCTCTGGAAAGTGCACCGCTCCACTGTACGACGCACATTTCGCGTCCGTTTCGTCTCTTCACGACGACCGCGACCGCATCGGCATCGATGATTATCTCGTGTACGACCCGAACGTCTCGACCGCGCGTGTTTCGGCGTACAGAGACGGCGACGCGACGAAAACGCGTCGTTAGCGAACGGGCTCGACGCGATCGCGACTCGGTGATCCCGCGCTCAGGCGCGATCGGTGGCTCGGAATCGTTCGAGTGGTGCGTGTGAAGATAGACACGACTCGTATTGAGAGCTTGACGTGAAAATGAAGCGCGATCGACCGAGATACGAGGCGACTGACGATGGATTACAACTTGTTATTTTCAACGCGCGCAGCGTCGTCATCGAAAACCGCGCCGCGTCGGTGGACGGGGCGAAACGAACGCTCGTTGTCGCGATCGAGGACGCTCAAAACGTTCGAGGAAAGGAATTGCGTCGGACGACCGAGCGGACGTTCGTGGATAGTGGGAAGAAGTGGACGGAGCGGTACGAGACGCCGGGACAGTTTGTGAAGGCGCGAGGGGACGGGTGGGAGAGCGGCGCGCTCGCGATCGCGCGGTCGCCGTATCACGTGCGATACGACAGCGCGAGATTGGATAGCGCGAAGGTTGAATTCTTGGTGGACGAGCGTACGGACGCGGCGGCGCTCACGGGGGCGAAGCCCGGGGACGTATTTTACGTGAGCGAGCCGCTGGGCTGCGGTTTCAGCAACGTGTTGTTCGCCGATCGGTCCCTCAAGAATGCGATGCAGCACGAGTGTCCGTGCATCATCATCGCCTGCGGCACGCGTGGTTTGGCGCACGCTCGCTCGCTCCTGGATTGGCAGCCCGTGATGGCGTACGCGGACGCGCATCCGGTGTCTCTGTTTTACCTGTGCGAATCGCAGGAGGGCGCGGCGCTCTTGTCCCTGCACGACGAGTGGCGCGAGGAGGGATTCAAAGTGGTGCCGTGCTATGGCGCCTTGGAGGACCAGTTATTCTTGATGGAGCAGTGCTTCATCACCGGTGCCGTCGCCGCGGGCGGGAAACCCACTGTCCTTGGCCCGAGCGCCGCTAGCTGCTCCGTCTTGCTCGCCGGCGCCGAGGGCGAAACCGCCGGCAGGATCCTCACCCTCCTCACTTCACGCGGCATCGCCCGTGAGAACATTTTGACCCCGAACTAGATCCATCCAGCGCTTACTCTCGAGCCCATTTGTGCGCAAAGCGAAGAAACCACCGTCATCCATCGTCGCTCGCGCGTCCCGCTCGTCCCGCGCACCGTCCCGTCCCGCGCCGCAGTCACCGACTCCTTCGACTCGTCACCAAACGCTCCTAACGATGGGTAAGAAGGACGAGACCCCGGAACAGCGCGCGGCGCGCAAGGCCAAGGGTACGTTCGCCTTCATCGTCGTCATCGAGCGATCGCACTCGGTGATGGTTTTCAAAGACCTGGAGGTTTGGTTCAAGGACCTCCGCGCACGTTGTGGACGTGAACGAAGCGAATGAAGCTAGTGAGCTCTCGAAAATAGGTCGATCGCGATGGTGACGAACGATACGAACGCGTGGACTGACTACTGGCGGGCGACGCGATGTCACTTTTGTAAACGCGCAGAAAAGGCGAGCGGCGAGAAGAAGGAGAAGAAGAGCGACAAGTCGGAGAAGAAGGAGAAGAAGGAGAAGAAGGAGAAGAAGGACGAGAAACCGGCGCAGCGAGTGGCTCCAGCGAGACGGGTGCCGAAGGCGCCGGAGGTGGAGCGGCCGGCGGATGATTATCTGGCGGGCATGGATTTGCCGTCGAGCGAGAGCGAGAGCGACGGCGAGGAAAAGGTTGAGCGAGAGGAGAAGAAGATCGAGATCATCGGGCCGTCAGATAAGCAGATCAAACGACAGAGGCAGAAAGAGATCGAAGCCGCGAGAAAGGAGGCGCAGGCTAAGGCGGAGGCTATGATGGAGGACGACGACGCGTTCAACGTGCGCATCCCGAACATGTCGGACGAGTACATGGCGGCGATTGCGACTAGCAAGGATATCAAGATTGACGGATTCTCCGTCAGCGCGCGTGGTAAGCCTCTTTTGAACAACACATCGCTGACGATCGCACATGGTCGCAGATACGGTTTGGTGGGTCCGAACGGTACCGGTAAAACCACCGTGATGAAGTTGTTGGCGAGACGCAAAATTCCAGTTCCTGAGCACATCGATATTTTACTGGTCGAGCAAGAGGTCGTCGGCGACGATCGCTCTGCGCTGCAGTCTGTCGTTGCCGCGGACGTCGAGCTTCAAGAGTTACGAAAGAAGAAAATCGATCTCGAAGACATGATGGAGAAGCTGGCCATCGGGGACTCTAGCGTGACCGAGCCTGTGTTCAAGGACGAGGAGACGGGCGAGGAGCACGATCTCGCCGTCGAGCTCAACAAAACGTACGACCGATTGAATCACAAGGGCGATGCGACCGCAGAGGCACGAGCGTCGAAGATCCTTCACGGTCTCGGCTTTACGGTTCCAAAGAAGGATGGCTCTGTGGGTCCCGATCGTTTCTCCATGCACAACACCACGAAGAGCTTCTCTGGTGGTTGGCGGATGCGTATCTCCCTCGCTCGTGCCCTGTTCATCGAACCGACGTGCTTGCTGCTCGATGAGCCGACGAACCACTTAGATCTACGAGCTGTCATTTGGCTAGAAGAGTATTTGATGCGCTGGAAAAAGACGCTCGTCGTCGTCTCGCACGACCGCGACTTCTTGTCCAACGTCACGACGGACATCGTGCACTTACACGATCACAAGCTCGATCAATACAAGGGTTCGTTTGATCAATTCGAGGAAATGTACGAGATTCGTCGTCGCGAGGCAAACAAGGCTTACGAAAAGTATGAGAAGGAACTGAAGGCTGCCAAGAAGGCATCAAGTAAGTCCAAGCAAGACGCCGTCAAGGATAAGGCAAAGAAGGACCAAGAGCGTAAGAAGGGCAAGGATAAGAACAAGGGTATGATGGTAGACGATGACGAGAACGCACCGGCGCAGTTACCGGAGAAATGGGCCGATTACAACGTCAAGTTTAGCTTCCCGACCCCGACCGAGTTGCCGCCGCCTCTCATCGGTCTCAACGATTGCTGCTTCGAGTACCCGGGCCTTAAGGGCTTCTCTTTGGATAATATCAACATCGGTATCGATATGGGTTCTCGCGTTGTCATCATCGGTCCGAACGGTGCGGGTAAGTCGACGCTGATGAACCTCTTAGGCGGCGATTTGGAGCCGACGGCGGGCGATTCGCGTCGCTCGCACGCCTTGCGCATCGGTCGCTATTCTCAGCACTTCGTTGATGTCTTGGCCATGGACGAGAACCCAGTGGAGTTCCTTAGGCGTAAATACCTCAAGGATAACGGTTCGTCGTACAAACCCGAAGAAATTCGCGCCAAACTCGGTCGCTTTGGTCTTCCTGGTCACAACCATCTCACACCCGTTGTCAAACTCTCCGGTGGTCAAAAGGCGCGTGTGGTCTTCACCGCCATCGCTTTGTCCAACCCGCACATTTTGCTCCTCGACGAGCCTACGAATCACTTAGACATGCAGTCCATTGATGCGTTGGCGGACGCTCTCAATGAATTTGAAGGCGGCGTCATCATGATTACGCACGACGCCCACATCTGCGAAACCGTACTCGACGACGAAAAGAGCGAAATTTGGGTTGTCGACGAGGGCAAAGTTGACAAGTTCAACGGTGACTTCGAGGAGTACCGCAAACAATTAGTCGCCGAGATCGCCGCCGAGCTCGACGATCAGTAACGGATAAAAATCCTCGCGTTGACCCCATGGAAGTATAAAATACAGTGATTCTGATGATTAATCCTTCTCGAGTTGCTACACAATCTAATCTACAGCGAACGTAACAAATACTCCATCACCTCTTCTTTCGTCTTCCCGCTCGCGAGCAAGTAATCCACCATCTTTCTCACGTTTTCGTCCGCGTCCAAACCGAGCAGACTCGGCCTGCGCTCGATGTCCTCCACAAACATTGCCGCGTTTCGATCGAATTGCGCCTCCATATACTCAAAAAGCGGCTCCAATCGTTCCTTCACGCTGTAAGATAGCACCGCGGGATGTCGAATCACCAACGCGCCGACCCCTTTTTCATCCACGCCGCGCAGCTTTAAGAAATCCACCACCTCGCACATTTCCTCTGCCCCGAATTTCATCGCCTTTGGATCCAACCCTTTCTTCGCCATCTCCGCCTCGAATGCCGTGGACGCTCGCGACATCACCTGTAGCGCCTGCGCTCGAGGGACACCGATGGATTCGAGGTACTCGTACTCGCCAATCATCGCTTTCTCCTGAGTCAGGCGATAAATGCGCTGCACGCCCTGTCGTCCCGGACGCAGACGCGATTCGGTGACGATCGAACGCCTGGAGAAGGTCGGAGATACGGTTTTATGCGCGCCGAACGCGTCGGCGCTTCGTTGGGCGAACATAACGGCCGGGGTGTGCGAGGCGCCGTGTGGGGCGGAGGACGCGGAACCCTTGGGCGACGGCTGGCGCCCAGGGCAACTGGGACGAATATCAGTCGAACTTGTCATATTTTCCTGTACGCCCCGTGAACCCCGTGAACAAGAAGATGGAAATTATCGTGAGAGCGTTACCCACGGAGGCGCCTACGGCGTCGAAGACGAATTTCGGGGCGAAGATGGCCCAAACCATGAGGTGTCGTCGATGCAGGGCGGCGCACAGGGCGGCGCACATGGAGACGAGCGCCCGGCATAGGGTGATCTTGGCCCACAACGACATCGCCGGCGTGTGGCCGCAATCGCGAAACTGTTTACCAAACTGATTGAATGAAGTTAGGTGATGGGCGAACATGGGTACAAAGGCGGCGAGGAGGACCTCGCCGCTCCATGTCTCCAGGCCGAGGAGGAATCCCATGCCATAATAGTTGAACTTACGAAATCCAGTGAAGGCGGCGGCGAAGTGTAATCCGTTAAAAGAACACGTGTGCCCGCCGCCGAAGAAGATCACCGAGGTGGCGAGCCAGAGTCCAATCGCAAGCGTCGTTTCGATCGCTCTCGTCGATGCTTTGTGAATCGGATGGTAAGCAACTTGAACAAGGCGAAATACGCCGCGAAAGAGTTTGTACGACGAAAAGACGTACGCTGCGCCCATCGTCGGTCCCGCGAGCAACGTCACTGTGGACGAGACGGCGAGCAAGAAGAGCGTGCAGCGATGGCCAATGTCATTATCTGAACGAGCGTGAACGACCTTAATAAGCACCACAATGGACGATAAGTACGTCACGTGAGGGAGCCAATATTCTTCAACGCCGAAAATCAAAACGCTCGCACTCCGCAGCACGACGCTATCCAACCACAAATCGCGACCTTCACGTATTTCTTCGAGCATTCAAAACGCGTCAAGTCTTCGTCTCGATGTATCGAGTACACGAGCATCGCGCCGCCACCGAGTGTGCACGCCGCGATTGTCACTGTGACGAGCTGCGAAAAGGTAAATGCCGAGTCGCTCTTCACCCAAGACGATCCCAGAGCGTACAAGAAGAAATTACTCAACAGACATTGCACAGTACCTTTTACGACTTCGACACTTTGCGTTCCCTCGAACTCGTCCTCTCGTTTCGCCATCCCCTTTACCATGAGAGCGAGGACGAAAGTTGCAAACAAAAATTGCATCATCTCTCGTTCGCCGACGATGAAACTGTTCGACAGTCGCGCCAGAGACGCTAACAGGACCATGAACATGCCCAAAACAGCGGTAGAATCCATATGAGAGCACTCTTTCGGAGGGCCATACGCGAGAATAGCGTGCACAATAAGTGCAGCAACGAGCGCGCCGAAACCGAGCACCATGCTCATGAGGCCAAACTGCGTCCATCTCACCCGTGCCACGTCCGCTACTTCTCGCAAAAGTTCCAAGATGTGCTCCTTGGAGTCGTTTGAGCGTGGGGTCTCCATCATAGAGTCCAACCTCGCCGCGATATCTCCTCTGAACGGACTCGTTGCGTCGTCGCTGTACGACTGAGTGTAATTCCAAACTTGCTCTATGTTTGCACGAAGCGCGCGAACGTACGCCGCGCGCCAATCAAAGCCATCATCTGAGGACAAATCTGCACTTAAAGCAAGTCTAAATACGTCCTCGTTTACCTTTCCTAGGTTTCCAAATGGTGTGGGAACACCCATGATGGCCGCCATTGTCGGCGCAAAGTCAATTTGCGGTAACGACTCGTCCTCTTCCGACTCGCTTGATCGACACGTCACACCCTTGGAAGCCCACGGGTGATACGCCAGAAGGAACGAGTCCACCTCTTCCGGAGTCCCACCGCCGTGGTCACCGTTATCCGTCATTCCGTGATCCCCAAAGACGAAGAGCATCGCGTTCGTGTACCGGTCGTCGGCGCGCATTGCGTCCGCCACCATTTCAATATCTCGATCGTTCTCCGCGAGCTTGCGCGCCATGTGCGAGCCCGTGGCCCCGAAGGTGTGTCCGACGTGATCGGCACCGAGCATGTGTCCTATCAAAACGTCCCAAGACTCCGGTTGTTTCAACGCGCGAGACATGTGATCTCGCACACCAGCATCAACCGTGCTCGTATCTTTCACGTCCAAACTCGGGAACATCTCGCATCCCCCCGTGAACGTCTCGTTCGCGCCCGGAAAGAGCTCCAACCATGTATCATCCCCACTGATCGCGAGCCGTTTTCCCCTCGACGTCATTGATACGATCAAATTATCCTCCCGAAGCGTTGTCCCGCCGAACGAATCGCTCGCATCCACAAACGTCGGTAACCCCCCGGTGAGTAATCCCTTCAATCGCTGCTGCGTCGTCGTCGGCGCGTCTGCTATAAACTTGAACACCTTTCCACGTCCTCGTTTCTTCGTTCCATCGCTCGCATTCCCGTTAACGTCGCACATTGACCCCAACGCACGCACGCTGCGTAACCGTCCCGTAGTCGCGTCGCCGCTCGAACTGACACCAAACTTTTCTGTGGTCCAATCATATCGAGCGCCGTCAACGATCAAGATAACGACCTTATCAACCTTGTTCGCTCGCGCGTCGTCGTCGTCATCGCTCCAAGACGTCAAGGAACGCTCGTGAGTTTCGACTCTTCTCAACAGAAAACCACTCGCGAAGAGCTTTAACGCGATGAACTCGCACGCTAAGAGCGCCACGAGGACGCGGGTCAACGTCGACCGCATGTTAGCACCGTTAGCGTGCGTCGCTCGTCGACGGCGAAGGGCTGTGCCGACGCGCGAGCTGATGAGGCAGATTTTGCTTTCTTGCGAAGAATCATTGAAACGAGACTGAAACGACGCTCGCCGCGCACTCATCGACGCGACGGACCCCGAAAACGACCGTCGGTGTGCAGTGTCGTTACACAACTTTTTCAGCGCGCGCACGACGTCGAGAATCGCGTTAAATCGATCGAAACGGAAGTATTAAGGAACGCACGTATGACATGTCATCCATCAAGAGCTCAACTGAAATCGTGGAAGCACGCGCGATGACGCGTGAGACGTCGGAGGGACAGCCGTCAACGTCTTCTCGCGATGATCGTTCCGTTTTGAAGCGGTGCGAGGACGTGCGCGAGCGGTTGGACTCGGCGTTGGCGAGCGCAAAGGCACTCGCGGGTGTCCCGCTCGAGCGGGACGCGATGACACGAAGCGCCAGGGCGTGTCGGTTTCGAGTCAATCGATTGCGGGAGCGGTTGGAGAGAGGTTTTGAGGGTGGTAAAAAATGCGTCGGTGCGGTAGTTTTGGAGGCGGATGATTCGATGGTGAAGATATTGGACGCTGACGTGGCGGTTACGGAGGCGCCTGATGTTACAGACGACGACGTCGGGGAGGTGGAATCTAGGGAACAAGAGACAGCGTCGTACGAGCGAACGATCTCGTTTTGGCGCGAGCTAGAGGAAGATGATTCCCCGTCCACAGCGCTATTGCTGCAGTTGGTGCGATTGGCGCTGAACGGAGTTCCAGAGGGCGGCGCGGTGAGCGCGAGAGAGCTCGCGAGACGGAGTCGACCAACGGATATCGACGAAGACGCCGAGCTCTCCGTCAGTGCGCTGTATCGCTCGGCGGATGATTTGATTACGCGCGCGAGTTGTGCGAATTTCGGGTCGGGATTCTTGGCGGGACTCGGTGGACTTTTATCTTTACCGGTCACTATTCCAGGTCAGCTCGCGGTGACGACATTTACGTCGCTGCGATTGGCGTTTGCGATCGCGATATTAGCCGGTCGCGGTCCGTTAGATCCAGCGACCGCAGCGCGAGCCATTCAAGCCGCACTCGGGGTGGACGTTACTGGCGACGACGATGACGACGCTTTGAGCGTCAAGACGGCGAGCGCGAAGGAGGGCATGATGCACGCGGCGATTCGTGGATCCGGCACGGCGCTTCAGGGTGCGTCGTGGCGTCTGATGCGCGTCGCTGCGACCAAGCTCGCGCAGAGAGGGGTGCAGAGGGGGGCTTCAATGGCTGTGACGAGAGCGGTGCCCATCATCGGTGGCGTCATCGGCGGCACTGTCGACGGCGTGCTCACGCGAACCGTCGGCGCTCGGGCTGTGGAGTTATTCTTTCCACCTCGACCCAGCGGCGTGAAGCCAAACGGTGCACTCGGCGAACACGCGGAACAGGCGGTGGCAAACTTAAAAATTGCCGCCGAGAGCGCAGCGAGCTCGCTCAACGGCGCGTTTGATTCGCTTTCAGCATCCTTTAAGAAGAGCTTTGGTTCGCGCAGGGACAACGCTTCCAGCGCCGGCGACACGCCGACGAGCGTCGGATACCAATCGAGCGAGCTTCAGGATGACTCATGGGAGAGATTTGAGCGCGAGCTTGAGCTCGAGAGCATGCGCGAGATCCTCGAGGACGGGTATCAATCGAAGCGTCGCGATGTTGTCACTCCGCCGGCGTCGTCGCCGACGAAATCCGACCCCGCCAAGGACGCCGAGCGCGCTGCTAAACGCGCGGAGAAAGACATCTTATGGGCCGAACACGAAGCCGAGTGGAAGGTGTTCTCCGAGGACCACTCTGACTCCACCGGTCCGCGTAAGCGCCTCGTGCGCTACCGTGATGTCCCGTGGCCTCCGTCCACCTCCCGCGTCCTGCTCGGATCCGCTGGCCGCGACGCCACCCCTGTCGACGTCAGAGATGCCTACCGAAGACTCATCTTACGGTGGCACCCCGATCGCTTCGCCCGATACGCCCTCGATTCGAGAGATTCGTCGAGAATCAACGCCAAACTCGCCGCACTCGCGAGTGCCATCAAGGACCAATACGCCGCGTTCCAAACTTCTTGTTAGCGCTCTTCAAACACCCCCGACGTCACTTCTCGCGCGTCGATGCCCAAGGACACGACTTCCGAGGACAGACAATCATCCAAAGAACCATTCGCGCTCGTTCGATCGATCGCCGCGTCATTAAACGGCGCGCAGGGATCGTTTCTGGTTGATTCTTTAAAAAGTCCACTCTCTGCATTCGCACTCTCTCTCGGCGTTTTCTTCTCCGCGGCGGCTCTATCCGCGTCGTTCGTCGCGTCATCACGGGCGAGAACGAAGGCCGAACGGGACCTGCCGAGCGGGACGCATTGGAGAGCGGCTTCGAGGGCGTTACGGGCGCTTGGGGCTGCGAGCGCGGCGACGGCTGCGCTCGCGTGTGGCGCGTGCGGCGCAGCCGCGGTGATCGGTGGAATTCATACTCCCAAAGACGTTCGAGAGGCGTTTGGGCGGCACACGAGGGCTGGATTCGACGTCGTGCGACGTGGTGAGAAGGGTAGAGGGGGTGCGACTTGAGGGATGGAGTTGGACGTCAGCGCGGTTGGAAACTTGGGCGAATGCGTCGAGGCGTATCGGCGAGCAGAGAGAGTGGGTGATGGCGCCCTGGCGACGATTCCGAGGCTGTACGCGCTATGCATGGACGTGCAAGAGGTGAAATTGGGTGAGGCAACGCGAGCGGCGACGGAGGCGGCGATGAGCGAGCGTTTAAGGGCGTTTTTACAAAACGGTTTCGCGCATCCGAGCGAGCGGAGAGCGGCTCCAGAACAACTCACGAGCGCGATAAACGTCGTCGCCTCGTCGCTCAGGGCGATGGAGACGGCGGTAAAGTCGGCATCCGAAGCCCTGAAAGAGTTCATCGAGGCGACGTCGGGAAAACAGAGCGATGGCGACGCATCTTGGATCGCCGACGTTCCAGTTCCCGTCTTGCTCACGGCATTCGCACTCGACGGCGACAATGCGAACGAGAACAATGGCGCGTACACCGTGGAACAGTGGTTATGGATATGTACGTCCGTGGTCGATCAGCTCGAGAAAGACCTCGAAACAAAACGAAAAATCGTCTCATACCTACGCTCGGGCGAGCTCGCGAGCGATGAGCTTTCTGGCGTCGCTGCGACGTGGAGCGCGCATCCGCACGTCGACGATCGACTCCTCGACCTCGCACGCGGCGCCGCGGAGTCGTCATAGATCATTAAACATAGCAAAAATGTAAATTACAAGAGCGAACGGAACGAAGACCGCTCTCAATAGCGGTCGTCGCGCGTCTGTTATCACGACGACGACAACATCAAAGCTTCATCTCACCCTCGATCGCTCCCTCCGCCCTCCGCGCTCGCCGAAATCGCCGGCGTCCCGAACGCACGCGCCCCCGCAGCCCGCGGCGACCCCTCGATCGCGTCCAAATCTTCTCGCAACCTCGCGTTGCACTCGTCAAACTGCGTCCGCACCGCGGCTTCGTCCCGCTCGCGATCCCTCACCACCTCCGTCGCTCGGAAACTCTCGTACGCCTTGGTCCAATCACCTCGCTCGTCCTCGCCCAACGATCGACGCGTCGGCGAGCCGAGCGCGCTCGTGAGTTCGACGTCTCGGTCGTTTTCAGATCTTCTCTCCCGAACCTCTTGACACCCCCCGCACGGCGACAGCGCGCTCGCGGCGTCGCATATCGCGTTCGCCACGCGGGTTCCGAGGAGTTGTTGATCGTTCAGGACCACGTGCGGGTTCGGCGGCGCCGACGCGTCGTCCTCGGGCATCGTCCGTCGAATTCTGCCGATGCCGTTTTCAACCACCCCGCGAGGCAAAAAAAAAAAACACCACGCATGGAACGACATTCGCCAAAGGCGCGAGCACCTTTCGAGCGGTCGGCGCACCTATCGTTCGATCCTTTCGAATGGACGTGTGATGGTGGATTCCATCACACGAACGCCCGTGGGTCACTCGGCGACGCGATGACGACGCGCGCGCGATGGCGACGTCGCGCGTCGACGCTCGCGACGGTGGCGGCGATCGGGTTAGGATGGTCCTATCTCGCCTCCGAGCGCGCGCGCGCGTGGCGAGCGCGTCTACGGGCGGTTTTGAATGATTTTGGTTTTGAATCAGCGCCGGATGCGCGCGAGGGGACTTTGGCGACGAATGCGGGAGGTATGACGGACGATGATTCGCGTGAAAACGAGTCTTCGGCGGATGATAAATTATCTCGAGAGATGGCGCGGGTGAACGGGATCACGAAGACGGTCGCGGCGCCGGGACGAATGGCGGCGTTGCGGAGAGGATTGAACGAGGCGCTGGGGCGGGAGAGCGAGACGCCGGAGGAAAAGTTGGGAAAGGCGTGCGTCGCGCTCGCGGCGGCGAGTGCGATGGAGCTCCTGACGCGGACGACGGTGAATTTAATCGCGAGGAGGGGGTTTTTAGATAGAGAGAGTGGGGTAACGCGGGAGACGTTGGATGACACGTCGCGCGCGGCGTTTTTGCAAGCGACGAGCGTGTACTTCTTTGCGAGCGGTGTTCGTGAGCTCACATCGATTGCGCGGGCAATCGTCGAGCGCGAGTTGGAAGATTTCGGCAGAGAATCGTGGACTAGGGAGGACACGATCGATTTCATGCGGAGGTGTCGAGAGACGATGAGTCGGGCGCTCTTGGTGCCGAGCGACGTGTTCAGCGATCCGAAAGCGCTTCCATTCGAGCGGAAGAACCGCCTTCACGTCATGGCGCCGCGCGCGTTTCCGTCGTGGGAGTCCATGCTGTTACCGCCGAAGAATCCCGATTTCAACGAAATTCTAGGCCCCGCTCCAAAGGATGACGCCGATGGGCACGAGCTGCAGGTTCGTAATCTGCGAGACGTAATGAACGAGACACGGCTTGTTGTGCGTTCACCGCACTTCGTCGTCGCGATGAACGACGCCATGCACGCAGCGTGGCGCGCGCACGCTGACGCGCTTCCGCGAGAGTTGTTCGGGGGTACGCGCAGCTCGACAATCGACGTTGTGGACGCCGCCCATGTAGTTGACGCGACGACGGAGCGCATCGCGAGCGACGCAACGTTGTTGGCCGCCATCGCAAACGAATCGGGTGTCGTTTTTTTTGGTGATGCGATTTGGTGATGAATGGGGCGACTCGATCGTACAGTGGCCGCGGTCGCGGTGGTTTCGTGCCTCCGTACGGCGGCGGCGCCGGCGGAGGTAATGGACAACGCATGAAACTTATTGTAATTTATTAATGCTATGATAGGTGCTGTATAGTAGCGTGAGCACCGGAGGTGCAATGAAGAATCGATTATGCTAACAAAGTTGGCTCCTGTGGCTCAATTCCTGCTCTCTGCTTTTCTCTCCCTGAGCTTGGCGGCGAATCTCTTTCCCTCGGCGGTTTTGAGCCAGCGCGCGATGTCTCGCTTGCCGCACGCGTACATTTCGCTCAATCCGTCGTCATCGGCGGGAATGAACGTGTTGTGCCGAGGTCTTGGCGCGCTCGGCACCAGCGTCGCCCCCCAATCCGTCGTATCTTCCGGGTCCAACCCGATGCGAAGCGTCTCCTCAGCGAGCGATGCGAGATTATTCGTCACCCCGCCGTCGACGCACACCATCCCGCGATGGAGGCACACCCCTGGAAACGTCCACGTTGGGATGTACGTTGACGCTATCACGGCATCGATCAAGTCATCCTTCGAATCGAACTCGGTCAATATCACGTTATGCGGCGTCGGCAGCAGCGACGTGATGGAGATGAAACACTTCCCCGTGCACCTCTCACCCGCATCCTCCGGCAAGACGTCGTCCAGCAAAAACCTACACTTACTCCCTACCGTGGTCAGATTCCGCCACCACCTATCGCGGTGTAACGACGCGATGTCCGGAATGTGCGCCCATACAACGTCAGGATCCACCGCGCACGCCGCGATCGCCGCCATCAACGACCCCACGCTTGATCCCGCCCAGTGCACTTCCTTCATCGCTTCGGCGCCGAACTCTGTATACAATCCGTGATACACCCCGATGTGATACCACGTCCGAAACCCCCCACCGCACATCGCCACGCTCGCGTGCCCGTCGTGCACGACCGGTGTCCGTTTCCGACCCTTACCCACGTCACCGTGATGTCTGACGCGCGGTCGCCACAGCGGCGAGCCCAAGAGCTCCCAAAAAGCCATCCACGCGCAAAGCCACATCCCCTGCGCCATCGCCGCCGGAATGCCATAGATCAAGCGGCAGACAACGATGAAACGCCCCTTACCGGTCTCTAGATACGCCGGGTAGCGCTTCGCGTGGAAAACGGCGTGAATGAAGACGTTCAACGAGTACAAGAGGATCGCGGTGAGAATCAAGTATTTCCACTCATTCGTCGTCAAAGTAGTGCTTTCAGACGCCGATAGAGCTTTGTGAAGGGCCACACGAAGACCCATTTTAGATTCGTCCGTCGATCGACCGTTTGCGCTTGAGGCACGTCCGATAGATCGTCGGAGAGTGCGGAGATGGGAACACGATGTGTATTCGACTAAAAATGGGTGAGCCTGAGGCCCCTTGCGTAATGTCAATCATAGAGCCGTGTGGACAGTACGCATGGACGCATTACGCGATGTTCATTACAGTTTTCTATGTTTCAACACTCACTGCGCCGCGGCGCGCGCACGCGCTGCGCGTCGAAGTCCGTTGAGGATGCGCTGACGCATGCGTCCGAGCATAGCACTCGGGTGCGCTTTTTCAAAGGGAACCAAGTGCTTCTTACTCGGGTCGATGGTCTTCGCCAAGTTCACCGCCAGGGTGTTGTAGTTGTGCCGCAAAAGCGCTCTTCGGGTGTTGAACGCTTTTACCCACGCCGACGCAGCGGCGCTGATTTGCTTGCACTTTTGTGGATTTGCTTGCGCCCAGTCAAATTTCTGCCTCAAGTCGCGCAGGTCCTCGGCGACTGGAATGTAGTGTACCCACGGTTTGATGCTGTCGAAGTAGGAGTCTCGCATCGCGGTCTCGTGATGAAATAGAACACCGGGGAGTGACATCTTGTGAATCGTTCCCGTCCACGTCGTCCCGCCGGCGCCGCCGAGGTCGATGTGATATCTGTACTTGGCCAAGTCGTCGCCTGTCATCTTGCGATCCGCCTCGACGCGAAGCTCCTTACCGAGCTTGACGCGGAGAGGGAATCGCGAGTCATACCTCGCGACGCAAAAGAACTTTGCGTCAATCCAACTATTGTCCAACAGGGAGTTGAGCACCAAGCGCAGGCGCGGGGTGATGTCGTTGCGAGCCAAGGTCTCGCGCATCGCGAGAGTGTAGTTGGCTTTACCATGCCCCCCGCCGGCTCTCTGCCAAATCTGATTCAAGACGCAGTCGTTCGGGTGGTGACACGAATCTTCCTTGAAACCGTCGAATTCTGGTCCGTAGAATCTATAATCCGTCCCTTGCCACGCTATTTTTGGAATGAGATTTTCCCACGCCGTGGCGTTTTCTCCGTTCATACCAAACACCTGCTGCTTCGGCCAGTTTGGAGGTTCTAGTTTCGCGTCCTCGCCCTCGTGCTCCAACATATCCACCAACGGCTCGGCGATCGTGATCAAAGTCACCTGATCTAGCGCCGGGAGCAGACTCGCATCTTTCGGCTGCGACGCAAAATTGTACACGCGCGGCCACTGGTCGGTGTGACATCCCTCCGGCGCCAAGCCCGTGCGCGCCGACTTCCAGCACTTCGTCTTCGGGTAATCCTCCACGGTGTAATACACCGAAAACGACGGCTGATCGCTCTTCAATCTTGTGGGGTAATACTTCATCACCGTCGACTGGATCATTCTCGCCCCTAACTTTTCCTCAAACTTCTCAAACGACGACCCGTCGTGCGCGTCGTAATGAAAACCAGTCTTCGCGTCCCAGTGCACCTCATGCAGCGGTCCCGGTCCCCACTCATCTCGAATATTCACGTGACTGTCCCCAGTCGTCGTCGTCGGCGCGCTCTTATCGAACGCCAACGCCGCCGCGACGTTGTCACCGTCGCGCGCGCCGAACGCCGCCGCGAGCGCCGCGCCCGCGCCGAACAACACCACGAGCGCCCCCAACCCCCCCCCGACGCGCCTCCAACGACACACCCGCGAAGAAGACGTCGTCGTCGGGCGTAATAAGCTCTCCGAAGCTCGATCGGCGTCCTCCGTCGTCCGCATGATCGATCGTCTTCCGTCGACGATGTCCAATGGTGTTACGCCTCGCCGCGCGTGGATCTCCCCAAATCGCGCGCGTTCGCCCCTCACCGCCCGCGCGCGCGCGGCGCACACCCCACGCGCGCGTTCGCCGCGCGCACGCCCGCGCGCGAGGTCGCGCGACGCGCGATGCCGACGTCGCGCGCGTCGCGCGCGTCGCGGGCGCACGACAACACGCACATAGGACTACACGTCCCCACAACGCGATGTCACACACTATACATACAGTACACACACGCCCATGTAAAAAGTCGTTGACGCCGCGGCCGAGGATGCTGGACACACAGACCCCATAGATGGTCTCCGTGTGTCTTCAATACGCGACACCCCACACGCCGCGTGCGCCACACGCGTGTCGCTGGATAACGACGGACGATCGGCACAACGCACCGACGTGCTCGACCGCGACGGAACCGTCGACGCTCGATCGCGCGCGAGAGCGACGCGCGAGCGTGCATGCTCGCGCGCGTCGGCGCACCGACGCCGAGCGCGCGTCGTGCGACGCGCATTCGTACACGATCGACGATCGCGCGCGGTGGGCGAACGATGGCGACGGTGACGATCAAAGAGATCCCGACGACGCCGATCGAGGGACAGAAGACGGGCACGAGTGGACTTCGGAAGAAGGCGGCGGTGTTTTCGGAGGGGAATTACCTGGCGAACTGGGTGCAGAGTTTGTTCAGCGCGCTCGGGGATGAGAGCCGAGGCGAGGCGATGGTGCTCGGCGGCGACGGACGATGGTTCAATAAGGAAGCGTCGCAGATCATCCTGAAGCTCGCGTGCGGGAATGGAGTGAAGAAGATGTACGTCGGACGAGACGGGTACCTGTGCACGCCGGCGGCGAGCGCGGTGATTCGGGCGAGGAAGGCGTTCGGCGGGTTCATCATGAGCGCGTCGCATAATCCGGGCGGACCGAATGAGGACTGGGGGATCAAGTTCAACTACAGCTCGGGTGAACCGGCGCCGGAGAAGATTACCGATGCGATTTACGGGTTCACGCAGACGGTGTCGACGCTGAAGATGGCGGATATTCCGGATGTCGATTTGAGCGTGTGCGGCGTCACCAAGTTCGGTGACTTTGAGGTTGAGGTTATCGATCCGGTCGAGGATTACTTGAAGCTCTTGAAGGAAGTCTTTGACTTTGATTTGATCAAGTCTTTGCTCTCGCGCTCGGACTTTAAGATGCAGTTCGACGCGATGCACGCGATCACCGGCGCGTATGCCAAGCCCATCTTTGTCGACCAGCTCGGCGCGCCGCCGAGCTCGTGCGTGAACGACGAACCGAAGGAAGACTTCGCGGGTGGACACCCGGACCCGAACCTCACCTACGCCGAGGAGTTGGTCAAGGTCATGTTCTCCGCGAGCGCGCCGGATTTCGGCGCCGCCTCCGACGGCGACGGCGACCGTAACATGATCCTCGGGAACAACTTCTTCGTCACTCCGAGCGACTCGGTGGCCATCATCGCCGCCAACGCGGTGGAGTGCATCCCGTACTTCAAGTCTGGGCTCAAGGGCCTCGCTCGCTCCATGCCGACCGCCGCCGCGCTTGATCGCGTCGCCGCCGGTCTCGGCGTCGAGTGCTTTGAGACGCCGACGGGTTGGAAGTTCTTCGGTAACCTCATGGACGCCGGTCGCTGCTCGGTTTGCGGTGAGGAATCCTTCGGCACCGGCGCAGATCACGTCCGCGAAAAGGATGGCATGTGGGCCGTGCTCGCGTGGTTGTCTATCTTGGCATACCGCAACAAGGACGTCCCCGTCGGCGGCAAGCTCGTCGGCGTGAAGGAAATCACCGAGGAGCACTGGGCCAAGTACGGACGTAACTTCTTTTCTCGATACGATTACGAGGGATGCGAGTCTGATCCGTGCAACGCCATGGTTGAAGCACTCCGCGCCAAGGCAGCCTCGGCGAAGAAGGGCGACAAGTACGGTGACTACGAACTCGATTACGCGGACGACTTCGAGTACACCGACCCAATCGACGGCTCCGTGGCGAAAAAGCAAGGCGTGCGCTTCGTCTTCACCGACGGCTCGCGCTTCATCTTCCGCCTCTCCGGCACTGGCTCCTCGGGCGCCACCGTTCGCATGTACATCGAGCAGTACGAAGCCGACAAGAGCAAGCAAGGCGTTGACGCCCAAGTCGCCCTCGCTCCGCTCATCAAGATCGCCCTCGACACGAGCGATCTCGAGAAATTCACCGGTCGCAATGCACCCACCGTCATCACGTAATCACGACGAGCACTCTGCGCGAAGATTTATTTAATCTCACACTCGCTTCAGAAAAAATCCAAAACGCGCGCGACGACTCACCCGAACAGCTCTGACACGTCTTCTACACAGCTCCGTTATCGTTACAATCAACACACATCGCGCGTGAACGCTCACGCGTTTCCCATCTCGCGCGCCTCTCGTCGCAACTCTCGCACGACCGCGGCGAGCGCCTCTGGGTTGACTCCGCGTTCGACGAGCGCGATGAGCACGGCGAGCTCCTCTCGCGTCACGTCGCAGTCGAGGAGTTTTGAGAGGTCGTGGGCGACGTCCAACGTTTCTCTCGCCGCGTCCGACATCGCGGGTGGCGGGCCCGGAAGCGCGTCCGGCGCGAAGGACTGCGGCACTGCTGTGCGTGGTTTTTAAACTGCTTGGGCGGGTTCGTCCGGGGCGCGGAGGATTTTTGGTCGCCGAGGCGTGCGTGAGGGCGGTGGGACTCGCGTGCTAACTATTTGGAAATGTATAAGTACATGGTGTTTGTTGACCGTCGCGGCGCGATCAGTCGCCGCCGCCGCTGCGCGGGACGGCGTCTTCGTCTTTGTCTTCATTTGAGGTCACGCTTCGGGCGCTCAAGCTCGCCGGGGCCAAGTCTTCGGGGGTGGGGTTGTCGCCGGCGAACGCCTTACGCATCGCCGCGGTTTCGCGCGCTTCAATTCTTTTCTGCACTCGCCAACGTGTGTCGGTCATCTTGTCGCGCCACGATTTTCGCGGCGCGCTGACATCCGTCTCTGGGCCAGTTTCCCTTTTGATTTGCTCCTCGATCTCAGCCAGACGAGCCTCGGTGGAGAGCTCGTCGCCGACCGGGGCGAGCTCAAAGTATTCATGCGTGAATGGATCGACTGTCACCGCCGGGAAAGGTCTAGATGGCTTTGCCGCCGCGGGCTTCTTCGCCAGTTTCTTTGACGAGTTCAACAGGACTTCTGCAGACGGCGGTGTCCACGAAACTGTGTCTTGCGCCGGAAGACGAGGCGTTGGTGGGATATATCCGGCGGGGTACAAAGGTACGGTCGGCTGCTCTTGCGCGGCAGCGTTCGCGGTGAAGTCCGGCCCGAGTAGCTCGTCTCTCTCAGCGTTGCGAGCGATTCGGAGTTGCTGCGCAATAAGCTCGTTGTACTGTGCCACACGAGCCTCGACATGTCCTCGGCGGGCGATTTCTATTTCGTTTATGTACGCGGAGTCGTCGTTCGATGCAGATTTACGCTCGCTGTCGCTCGATGATCCGGCGCCAGACCCGACTGAGCCGCGCCACACGCTTCGGTTATTGTTCGCATGCCTTCTGCGCTCTGCCGCCAAAGTCTCAATCTTGTGCTCTATCTCTGACGGTTGATGCACAAGCAGCGACTTGCTATTTCGCCATTTGTTCCGCAATCCCTCTAGATGTACGTTCAATTGGAGATATTTGAGCTTTAAATCATTAGCCCCCGGTTTCGCCAGCTCTTCAATGAGCGTCTGGTCATCGAACGACGCAATGAGCTGCTCGGCCATGCTCGGATGCAATTCCTGCGCAGCTTCGTGCGTGTCCACCAGCGCGCGCCTGATGGCATCTCGGCGGAGGTGGTCTTCGCCCTCGAGCGCTTTACTCTCGGCCTCAATCTTGGACGCGATGCGCTCCTGGGTGATGTCTCCGCGAATGGACCAGAAGACGGTCAGCAAAAAACTCAAGTTCAAGGCGTACACGAACAAAGTCGCCAAGACGGAGAGCACATAATTATTTACGTTCACCACCAGCGCTCCCGTGTTATAACTGATCAGGATGACCGTCAACGAAACAACTTCGACATGGCGATGGCGCTCTCGCTCGTACACGTCCAAAAGTAACGCCAGTGCGAGTGAGCCTTGCAACAAGGCGATACAGAGATACGCCGCGAGAATTGGTCTGTCGGGAAGAAGCAAGGTGATCATGGCGAGAAGAGCCTTGCGCATCATTACGATGAACTCCCAGTAATACCTCTCCTCCGTGAAGCCGATGTACATGAAACCGTATCGTGCCTTGGTCTTTGCCCACGCCAGCTGACTCTTATGGCTTTTCAGCGAAGAGAACACCTTGCTAGGTAATAAAAATGCGACGACAAAACCGGCGATAAAGTAGACGATCGAAGTCTCTTCGAACTCGGAAGTGTCTGTTCGCACCTTGTAATCAACGAACAAAAAGTTGCCGATATCTGCAACTTTTGTTGAACGCACCAGCTTTAGCACGTCGGTGACGACGGGGAACCAGCACATCGAGAAGATCGAGGCGTGCAATATTCCGTAGGCGACGTCAATCGGAGCCGGTTTGAGCGACGCAAGGTGATCCTCAGTCCACTCTTGCACCACGTACCCGTCCTTGTTCACCTTTGTTTGCGTCTGCATTTTGAACGCATCCGGGTACGAGTCATTCACGTCCGGCGGTTGCTTGATGCGCTCGAGCTGCCACTTGATGCGATCGACATCTTCTCCCTCTCTTCGCGCCGTGATATAGGCGTTTTCAAGAGTACGTTTATCTTCGTACCACGCACTCCTCGCCTCAAAGAAATAAACGAGTCGTATGTACAGGTAAAGTGGCACGCACAGCGCACAGAAGACACCGACTGCCACGAAGGAATATCTGGTGTAATCAACGTGCGACCATTTTGACGCACAGTCGACCACGAACGACTTTAACGATGTCGTCGACATGCACCTTGAGAGCGATAACAAGAACCCCGCTGCCTCTGTCCATCCGAGATTGATCGATCCGAGAGTGGAGAGCATGTGAAAGTGCGAGATGATGCTCTTTGTGTACACAATTTGAGTTGCCAATCCGCTATGCACAGCCTTGCAAACAAAATATGCCACAGTGATTTGCAAGACGATGACGATGAAAATACTTAATCCAGTCAACCCACTGCCCCAGCACTTGGTACACTTGAGCGATGTCTCTAAAGAGTTGGAGTCCGCCAGAGTGGCGTAACCGCTTGATGCGTCGCATGTGCCGCAGAGAGGCCCGATGTAGCCGATGTGGCACAAATCGTTCGTTTCACCACGGCCACCTTTGCAGCTGTTCGGCGAACGACACGCCTTAATGTCGAGCGTTGTTCTGTTTACGCGCCATTTTCCTGGCAAGAGAGATAATTCAGTGATGTCTCTAGAGTCGCACACTGCCCCGGCGGGACATGAAGCGCACGTGTACGTCTCGAACGGAAATAGTCGGTAAAAACTCTCATAATCGAGCGAATTTCCGACGGCAGGACCCCTCAAAGTACACTGACATGCGGATATGTTCACGTTTGCGAGGTACCCGGGTAATGTTTCTCCAGCAACTGTAACGTGCGGCGCGATCGGCTCGCCGTTGGCGCCATTCAACGTGTCCATGTTCACAGGACACTCGTCGCAAGCTTGTGCCCCGCCGGAACTCTTGAAGAAACCCACATCGCAAGGCACGCATACACCATACGGTCGGAGAGAGCCAAAAAAGTTATCGATGCTCAAAGAAGGGTCCAGCGTTGAGTACAAATTTGGAAAAGTAGACGTCGCCGTTGAGTTCACAAAACCCGTGCGGTTGACATCTTCTGTGTACCCTGGAAAACATTCGCATGTCCCGTCGGCCAGTGTCCTTGAATGCGGCTTGACCTGTTCGCACGAGAATATGGTGACTCCACCGGGCACATTGAGCTTAACTGGACCCAAATTGAATACGAGGCTGTATGTCATCCCGCGCCGCCCGATGATCTTGAAGTTTCCAAACTTCGCGCGGCCGTTTTGCAGGGGCTCTATGCCTCCAAGCACCGCGTGTGGCGTCGGCGTCACGGTGACGGTTACGTTCTCTACCACATTTGTGAGAAGGTTGTCCGCCACATCGTACCCTGAAATTTCGAACGCCGGAAATGTGATGTTGCTATCAAAGTGCCGCGGGATCTTTTGTGTGCCGAACTCTAGTCGATGTTGAACACCAGGAACGACGATGATTTCCAGAGTATCACCAATAAGACCGTCGTTCGTCGTTGTCGTGCACACATCTGACGGACATAACGATGCAAAACTAAGGACATATCGACCTGCGAGTGGGCGGTGGAGCTTAAGTCCGACCGCGTCACCGATAAACCCCGGCTCCTGCCGCACCCCGTAGTAGTCCAATCCTTCACCACTTGTTCCAGCGATGTCCGGAACAGCCGAGCCGAGCTGCGTGACGTATAGTATCTCGGCGTTTGCCAAGCTTTCAGTTGCGTTTTCGCCCACGGGTCTGCAAAAGCTCTTCGCCCGAGTGCTCGCGGTGCCAGGTGCGCACCAGGCGGCGACACCATTCTGGACGTATAGTGCGCTTGCGCTTGGCACTCGATTTGATGTCGAGTTGCACGCGTCGATTGCATCTCCGCACGTAACTTCCGTCTCTGTCGCTATAAGCGGAGAGTTTTCCAAAGTGAACGCAACCTCTTCGCCGATCGATGGAGAGTACTTGGTCAACTTTACAGACACTGCGCGACGAGCTTCGGCGCTATTCAACGCCGATCCCATGAGTAGACCCGCAGAGTCACGCGTGACTGCGACGACGTTGTTAAGATTCACATTGTCTGCACTTAAGTACGGCTGCGTATCAGTGCATAAGCCTGTTGGATACGTCGCTGAAACCGCGCTTCGAACACACGTTGGACAACCGCATACGTCGAGCGATGATATCTCTCCCGCAGTAATTGTCACGTTAAACGTAGCCGGTTGCAGAACGTTCGGAGATACCGTCGTAAGGGTCAACTTGTACAAACCGGCGATCGGGTTGTACAGTGTAACTCCCGTGATCAGCGCCTCTCCATCGGAAGTTGAGTACGTCATCGATTGCGGCGCTTGTGAAAATACAGTCTTGTTCGTCGGCACCGCGTACTCAACTTTGACTTTTATAATCCGGAACACGCCTGCTTCCTTGCTCCCCACTGCGTTCATACCACCATCAACAACGATGGCGGCGAATGGATTCATAACAACGACCCTCGCAGCACTTATAGATGTTTGGCGCTCGTACGTCCCTCTCCCGGTCAAAGTGCTCACGGGCGGTGCGTACAGCTGTGTCGCCACTCCAGTGGTGATTGTCACGGTGATAGTCTCTGTAATCATATCCTCACCCGAAAAAGTTAAAGTGTACGTTCCTTGCTCCAGACGACTCGCAGTTAACCCGCGGAAAACCAGGACAGCTCTTCCTAACGGCGCCGTCATTCGAGCGACGGCGTAATTCACTGTGGTAGACGTTCTAGACGAGTTGAACGTCGCGCGCAACGATGCCGTGATATCAGTCGCGACAAAGTTATTTTCCACTAGCGTGCCACCGGCATCTTGCAAGTGAATCGTAAACTTTCCAAACTCTATGGTTTCTCTGGAAGAGTAAGAAGTTCTGGTTTCTAGTGTCACGATGTGCTTGATTTTCCGAGCTGTTCCTTCGACTATTTTCACCTTCAAGTCATCAGATTGAAGTCCCGAGGTTGAAAATCGAACGATGTGACTTCCGTGCGGCGGAGAGGTGAAGTAGAAGTTTCTGAAGACAGCGCTCCCAGCGGACGTAACTTGCTCCAGCGTACCCTCCATCGTGGCTGTGGAGCTCACCACGGAAGCCGTCACTGTTCGATTGGTCGCATCCTCGCCGAGCAGCTTATTCCCCGCTTGATCGACCACGTTTAGCACGAAATGCCTCGAAAAGCTTCCGATGAGGGTGAAAACGTTCGATGGTAAACCGCCACCGTCCTCATCACCCGGATAAGAATCAGGAATAGTCGCTTTGAGCGCGTACGCATCGCCGGGCCAAATTTCATAAGATATCTGAACGTCGACCAAACCGGGAGATCTGAATGTAATCGTGGCCGTTCCACCGTGAATCGTCGAGCGTGGAAACCGAAACGCAATATCGTCAAACACTGCACTTCCATTGACGATCGGTTTCTTATGTTTGAACGGCTGAGAAGCTGCGCACGCGCCTGCAGATAAAACACAAGGATTTGTCGCCTCAAAATCAAACACCGCCTCTACCTCACCTGTGCACGACGCTTCTCCTGGCAAGCAGTTCGGAGAGTACGAACTACCCATCAGATTGTCTCCACCATCCATGACGACAATGACTATAGGGTCGAGCTGCACGAGTGCCGATGATTTGTACTGAGTGCATGTACACGGCGTCCCAGCGCTCCTCGTGAGCATGGCGCTAGAGCACTCGCTTGTCAAATAATAATCATCGCACGGTGCTCGCGCGGCGAGATGATGCGCCCTACCAAGCGATACATTGATCGATTGCGTCACATTTGAAAATGCAGACATCGACGGAACGGAAAACGTGAGCGTATGGGTACCCACGGTAGCTCTCTCGAGTGCCAATCCAACCACCGCCGCCGCATTTGTCGTGTAGTCAAACGCAACGTTCAAACCGGTGGACATCCCGAAAGGGTCGGCCACCAAGTGAGCGATTCGCTTCGCCACCGTGGAATTATACGTCACGTACACGCTCTCCGTGCCGATATCATCGCCGCTCACGCCCGAGGCGTAATGGACGAAGAGATGTACCGGATTGCTTGTGAGGAGGTAATTCACCTCATTTGAGTACGTGTCGTACATCTGAAACTTGAAATCGTCCAATGGTACGTAATAATCACTGCTATAGCGCCGAAACGTCGACATGTTCATGACTCCGAATGACGTAGACATCAACGCGACTGGACTGTTCGTCAGCGCAAAATAATCTGGCACACCAGAGGTGACGGTGATGTTGAAGTTGAGATCTACGAGCGCCACTGAGTTCGTTGAAAAAACGTTCCCTGCGCTGTCCTTCAGCGTGTTACCCGTTGAACTGCACGTGAACGTATGAACGCCTAATGCTGGAGACTGCAAAACCAACCCACTGAGCACTGCAGCACCTGTGCCCGCGGTGTCTCCAGTCAAAGTCCCGTTGATGGAGAGCGTCGGGCAGTTGCACGCAAACATCCGATGAACCGAGAACGAACTGGTTGTAGCATTGAATCGGTCCGATGCGCCAACGAGACTCCCGCCAACATCTGCAACCGACACCGTTAGATTACCGAGCGGTGTCGACGCGTTGGCGTAGCGAACGTCTGGACCGCTCGCGAGCGAGTGACTCCAACGATAACCAATGCTCCCAGGTATGAGCTGCACTAGCTGTCGAGCTGGACGCACGTATTCCGAGCCTTCTAAACCAAACTCAACGACGTAATACCCCGCAGACTTTGTTTGAAGCATAACGGTGTTCGCGGCGAACGTCCAAACCCCTGAACCGCTCGCGTCGACGGCGTACGTCGCGGTGGACGGTGAGAGTGTAAACGCCTCGTCGCTCATGCGAACTTCCAGGCGCGCATTTGCAGCTCCAGCAATCGCGTTGTACCCAGCATCATATAATCTAAGTGAGATAGGCGATGGAAGCGTCACCACCGTCGTCGACGTCACCATCACCTGCATCACGTGGTTATCAATCTCCACGTATCGCGCGCGCCCGTTTGCCATCGTGAAGGAGGAAATGGTTGAGCCGAACGATGCTGTGAAGAGAAGTCTATACACCTCGTCGACCCCATTCAATCCTCGCGACGGCGATGGATGCGTCAAATTATTGACGAACATCGTCTCGCCTCCACGTCTTTCTCCCGTGGGTGCCTCGTTGACGAATTTCAAATCCCTAAACACCGCGACGCCGGCCGCTGTCGACATCGTCGTGCTACCAAACAAGACTGAACCTGTCGTCCTAGACGCGTCTGAACCGTCAACCGACGCGACTGATATCGAGTGCGACGTCTCATCGAACGCATACAGGCGATTTCCCGCGCTATCGACGACGTAGACCGTGACGACACCGAGTGAAGACTCATCGTTGACTGGAACAACGCGCGATCTCATGGGAACCGCGACCAAACCCGCCGGCGCGCCTGGGACGACAGAGAACTTGAAAATGGTTCCACTTGGAACCACCACACACGCAGAACCAGTGCAGTCCGACGCATGGATGTTGACGACGTAATCACCGATTCGAAGCGGCGCGCTAAAGACTAATTGAAACGTTGCCTCTCCATCCGTTGTGGTCACCGTCGTCGGACTCATCGTCATCGTCACCCCTGGCGTGCTCGCCGAGAGGGTTGAGTTGAGCGTCGCCGTAATCTCAAATCCGCGCGAACCACCGACACCGAGATCATCCGCAATCACGGTACCCTTCGCATCGACTAAATTCACCGTTAACGGATCGAGCGTCATCGTCGTCGCACCCGAATCAACCGTAGACTCGTAAGCCGACAGCGCTGCCGAACTTCGCGTGTGCGTCACCGTGACTCCCGCAGCAGCGGTATGCAACTTTAGCGCTGGAGCAGAGTGATAATCACCTCCTCCGTTCATGCTCACCTCCACCTCCACGAATTCCGGCGGTGGATTTAGGAGCCAGGATAACTGCTCGTTGTGCGCCCCACACCCATTTGCACCGCCGTCACACATCGGGCACGTCACGCGCGTGGCGTTCACGAAAGTGGAGTTGATGACGTTCACAAGCGCGAATCGACACTTGAAATCACCATCCGCGAGAAATGGTCCACCGTCGACGGCAACGACGGCGGCTTCGCCGCTCGGTGCCTCGCCTGTGACAAAAGCAGTCTTTGGTGTCGCCGAGTTGATTATCGAAACCTCCCGCACGATCGGCGCGTCGTAGTACTCAAACGTAACGTTCGACTCGCTGTCGAACCACTGCGCGTCGCTGAAAAACCCCGCGTACGACTCCGGGTCGTACGGAAACCCCTTGAACGTCACGCTCACCGCGGCGCTCCGCGAACCGGTCAAAGCTCTCGACCCGTACGCGGGCGTCGCGCACTCTACCGAATCGCTCGCGATCACCGTTCCGGCGCTATACGCAACCGTCATCCCATCAAATCCAAACTTACACCCCGCCGCATGCGCCAGCACGGGCGTGGGCGCGAAGTTTTCCCAGTTCGCCGGCGCGGCGAACGTCCCGCGCGCCGTCACGCGCGTGTTCCCCTCCAGAGGCCCACGAGATGGCGTCAGCGACGTCACCGACGCGATGACGACGTCAAAAAGCATCAACAGCGTCGACACCGCGCACACGATCGCGCGCGTCGTGGACGAACGACGCGCGTTGGTTCGAGACAACGCCTTTCGTCGTTGGCTCGACATTTCCAATCGTCGCGCGTTTTCAACGCCTACGTGGACGTATCGATGAAATAAGAGACGCTCGCGGTCGAGGCACGCATGTCGACGTGCGCGTGCGTCGATTAAATTACGTCGTCGGCGCGATGTGACGCGCGCGTCGACGGATTCGTCCGCGGCCGAAGCATGCCTTCATAGTCAATGTCATAATACTGTGGTGAATTTTGGAGCGCCTCAGGGTCTAGATTTGACGTCTTCGACTCATGTACCGGTAGCGACGTGCGAACGCGGCGCAACGTGAAACTTTGCATCACGATTTGAAATACATTTTTGTACACTTGTATAACTGCCACACCAAATGTACACACAGAGCGCCTCGCACAGGGCGCCTCGTTGTCTCAAAGAAGACGTTTCGCAAACGCGCCGTTATTCGCTAAAACTCGTAAACAATCGCCTGCGCGTCATCTGAATCAACCTTCAACGCCGCTCGTTTTAACTCAAATTGCGCCTCCGCGCACGCCTCTTAATCTGTCGACAACGTCTCGTTATCCGCACACAACGACAAACATGCTTCTTCCTACGTCGACGCCCCGCTTCATTTCATGAGAGCTACGCGCGCGTCTCAAGGTGAGGTCGCGTGTGCCTTTGAGAGACTGACGACCGTCTTACCGACGCGGTGTCCGCGTCCGAACGAGTTCGACGCATCAAAGTGATTGGCGAGGGCGTCTGGAATCGCGTCGAGGCCCTCGAGTTTGAGACCGATCACCGGTCGTATTTTCCCGTCGCGCACCAAATTTGCCAAGAAACTCAAGTCGTGCGCAGACACCGTCTGCATGAACGGCTTGGACTTTCTCGAGAAAAGACAGCAGCAGCAGAAGGACGAGAAGCACGCGACGTGGCACAAACCGCACGGGACACACTCCGTCTCTGGATCGGGAAGCGAAACGGCGACAAGCACGCCGGAAGGGGCGAGTAAACGCCGCCACGAGTACCGACCGACGGCGTCGATGATTGTGTCGTACTTGACGTTTCCGTGCGCCTTGGAGTAGCCTTCAATCGTCTCTTCGGTGTAGTCTATCACCTCATCAGCGCCCAAAGACGACACGAGCTCGACGTTCCGAGTGGAGCAAACCGCCGTGACGCGCGCACCGAAATGTTTCGCGAGCTGCACCGCGAACGAGCCGACGCCGCCGGACCCGCCATTGATCAGAACTCTGTGTCCCGACTTAACCTTTTCGGAGTTGCCGATGCCACCCGAGCGCAAAGCCTGCAACGCCGTCTCCGCCGAGGTGGGAATCGCCGCGGCTTCTTCCCACGTGACGTTCGCCGGCTTTAGCACGACGTTTCCCAACGGGACGCACACGAACTCCGCGAACGCGCCGCATCGAACGTCAGCCGTGCCCAGAACGTGATCGCCTGGCGCGAGGACGGTGTCTGCGTCGCCACCGCCGCCGACGGCGGGACCGCCGACCGTCTCCACGACGCCCGCGAAATCCATGCCGGGCACGTCCCGCCGCCCGAGCAATCGAATAACATACGGACGTCCCGACAACATGTGATGATCGCCGGCGTGGATCGACACCGCCATCACTCGCACCAAGACGCTACCGACGTCCGGCACGGGTCGAGGAAGGTCTCGCACCGACAGTCGCTCGCGGCCGCCCCAGCCGGCTTGATGCACCGCTCGCATCATCGCCGCCTCGTCCAGAGCTCAGCGTCGATCACGGGCGGCGAGAGCGTCTTCGCGTCGTGGGCGAAATTCAAAACGCACCCGCGCGAGAGCCGTCGTGCGGCGCGCGCGCGTCGGTGGCGCGCCGTGCGCGAGCGACGGGACGACGCGTGATTTGACGCGCGCGGCGCGGCTGGGGCGAACGTCGCGCGCGCCGCGCGCACGCGGCGCGGGCGTTCGTATATTATTTTCGAAATCCCTATGTAGTTAATAACATACGCACCGCTCGTACATACTTAGAGATACATACCGCTATCAACATACCGACGCAGCAGGGAGACGAACAGACGTTTTTTTTTGGCGAATCGTCAGAGTGATGCGCGTCTCGGGCGTTCTCGTCGTCGCTGTCGTCGCGCGCGCGGTCGTCGCGAGCGCGCGAGATGACATCGATATCTTTGCGTCGAACGGCGCGATCAGATTACGCGATTCGCGGGATGGGACGGACGGTGAGGCGTGTCGAATGGATGCGCTTTGGAAGAGTCTTAAAACGTCGTTCGACGTGCGAGCGAGCGCGAGTGAGGCGTGCGCGGCGTTGGGAGCGAGCGCGGACGCGCGGTGCGTCGTCGCCTCGGTGTCGACGGCATGTAGGTTGCGTCGAGCGCGCGCGCGGGGGAGGACCGCGAGGTGTGGGAGGGATGGGGAGGATTGCGAGCGGTGCGTCCTGCGCGCGGTCGGGTCCTCGTCCGCTCGCTCGGCTAAGGACGAACTCGAGAGCGATGCCGATGACGACGAGGTATTGGTGACAGTGGATAAAGCGGTGGAGTTTGCGATTTACGTGGACGAGACGCGCGCGATCGATCGAGATTGCAAGCACTATATCGCAATGCGCCGAGCGGAGCTCGCGGAGGAGGCGCTTGAGGCGGTCACGACGCGATTAGTTCTCGCGCACAGAGAGGCAAACGAGCGCGCAGAGACGCTCGCGGTGACACTTCGCGACGTGGATGCATCAACACGAAGAAATGCGATCGATGCGCGAGCGGCAGCGACGGCGATTGAGGACGTCAGAGCGCGACAACGTGCATTTGCCGACGACTTCAACAAGTTCGTCCTTGGCGTCGATGAAGCGCTCAAGCGAGTCGAGAGGGCGTCCACAGGGGCGCTTCAAGCCGTTAAATTCGTCGCCGAGCTCGCGAAACGGTCGTTCGTCGCGTGTTCAGAGGTTTTCTCCTCCCTGGTGTCGCTAGAGACAATCGTCGTGCGGTGCGTCGTCGTCGCGCTCGCGTTCACGTCAAGTCGATTTCGCGGCCGAGCGATCGCCACGCTCGCGATCTCGTGGACCCTCCGCGCCTTGGCTTTATCATCCGCCGCTCGACTTCGCGTCGGGCTGCTCATCGGCGCCGTCGCACCGTCGATTCGCGTCGTCGCCGCCGCGCGCGGCGCCAAACACCGGGCCTCCAAAGCATCACCCACCACGACGAAATCACCACGTCACCGTCCATCCACGGCGGCACCGCGTCGAACGTCCTCTCGTGTTCGCGCGCGCGCGGTTCGCTGACGCCCGCCGTTCCACGGTGAGCGCCGACGCTCGTCTCCGAAGCGCTCGGCATCCAAGTATCACCCAAATGCCAAAGATTTTTCACCAGTCACGGACTCATAAACACCCCCTGGATTGTCAACGAGAATGTTCTTAACGGCGTCCACCCGTCACTTCCCGTCATGCCGCGAATCGCCGAGCTCGTCACGTACCCGGTGAAGTCGTGCGCGGGAATCTCCTGCGATGAAATCGCGCTGACGTCGACCGGATTAGCGCTCGATCGAACGTTTTGCGTCACTCGGGCGAATGATGGAAAGTTCATCAGCCAACGCACGCATCCGCGCTTGGCTCTGGTGCAGTGCGACGTCGAACCGCGCGCCGCGTTGACGGACCGAACGATCAGTAAATTCACACTCAAGTGCTCGGCGCCCGGGATGGATCGAGCGCTCGAAGTGGAGGTGGATTTGAGGAGCGACGCCTCGGCGACCGGGACGGCGACGACCGAGTGCTGGGAGTGGGTCGGTCGGTGCGGCTTGGTCGGTGACGACGCGCGCGCGTGGTTCACCGAGTTTTTGAACCAGGACAACGCCGGTGCGGGTGAAACGTACGAGTTGGTGCGGTGGATCGGGAAAGGGGGCTACGCTGGGGGCGAGCAAGATAGGGGCGACGTGGACGTGGACGACGCGTCGACGCGACTGACGTCGCCGGATTACGGCTCTCGAAGATGCACGACCACTCTGAGCGATGGTTTTCCGATGTTACTCGTCAATAAATCCTCCGTTGAGGCGTTGGAGCGATGCGTTCGCGAGGAAACTCCCGGGTACAAGGTGGACGCCAGACGTTTCCGCGGAAACGTCATCGTGGACGACGCGTCGCCGTACGCCGAAGACGCCTGGTCCAAGATCGCGTTCGGACGCCTCACAGCCGACGACGTCATCGCAGAGGTGTGCAAGCCCTGCAGTCGCTGCGCCATTCCCATGATCGATCCCGACACCGGTTCTTCGACCGCCGGCGTTCCGCTCGCCCGCGTCCTCTCCCGACTCCGCAGCGGCGCCGCCTTGGGAACCGCCAACCGCCTCTGGCGCCAGAGCCCATTCTTCGGCTGGAATCTCATCTGTCCCGACGCCCAAGACGCATCCAACGTCTTACGCGTCGGTGACGACGTTCGAGTCCTCGAACGGCGGCCCGCGTTCCCGTGAGGACGTCCTCGCGTCCGCGCCGCGGCGCCGCGGCGCGCGCGCCAAACCTCCGCGCGCGCCCCAGGTCAACAACGCAATAGAATTCGACGCACGCCACCGCATTCCCCCCCGCGCGCGCCGTGAACGCATGGCATCGACGACGAGCGTCCGTGCGCTCCCTCGCGCCCGCTCGACGCGCGTTCGCGCGCGCGCGCGACGCGCACACGGACGAAACATTCGCGCCGCCGCACACTCGACGAGCTCGATCGCAAAGCTCTTGGTGACCGCACCCGAGGGATTGAGCGCGGAATTGGAGCGCGCGATCGATGGCGTCGTCCTCGATTGCGATGGGGTCATCTGGCACGGTGATCGGTTGATCCCGGGCGCGCGAGCGGCGATCGAGAGCTTGCGCGCGCGAGGGAAGCGGGTCTTCTTTGTGACGAATAACTCGACGAAGACGCGAGAGCATTACGCGCAAAAGCTGAACGCGTTGGGGATTGAAGCGAGTAAGTATGAGATATATACGAGTGGGTACGCGACGGCGTGTTACCTGCGGTCGAGGGGGTTGGCGGAGATTGATGAGGGGGAGGTTGAGCGCGGCGAACACGGCGAGCGCTTGGGGAACGACGCGCAGCGAAGCGCGTACGTCATCGGTGAAAGGGGGTTGATGAAGGAGCTCGAGGAGGCTGGAATCGACGTCGAGGCCGGGGTGTACGACAGCGTGAAGTGTTCGGAGAGGGATTGGGAGGAGATGGATGAGTGGAGCGACGAAAACGTGGGGGCGGTGGTCGTCGGGAGCGACTCAAAGTTCACGTTTGCCAAGCTCGCGTACGCATCGTTGCAGATTCAGCGAGGAGCGATGTTCGTCGCGACGAACCCGGATGCGGGTGATCTTGTGGGCCCGGGTCTGTACCCCGGAGCTGGCGCGCTCGTGAACGCGGTGGCGACGGCGTGCGGGAAACAACCCGAGATTTATTGCGGCAAGCCGAGCTCCTTCATGTTAGAGCTCCTCAAGGATCACGCCAACATCGACTTGTCCAGGACGCTCGTGATCGGTGATAGATTAGACACCGATATCGCGTTCGGCAAGGCTGGAAACGCTGCGCTCACCGCGCTCGTCTTGACGGGCGTCACGGAGATTGACGACGTCAACGCCTGGGCCGAGCGCGCGGAAACCGACCCGGCCGCCGCCGCCGCCCTTCCCGACCGCATCGTCGGCTCCCTCGCCGAACTGTGCGGGTTGGAATTCAATCCCGATGAACTCTGTCCGAGTCTTCACGACTCCGACGCCGACGTCGCTCGCGACGAGGACGATATGCTCCGCGCGTTTCCCGCGGAGGACGCCGAGACCCCCGAGGATTTCCCCCTCGACGAAGACTACGGCGACGACGACGACGCGTCCAACAAGTTCTCACCCTCCGGATACATGTAATCGGACACTCAAACACATCTTTTCCCATCGAGTCATTCGCGACGACGGACGCGCACGTTTTCATCCGCCGGCGCCTCCGCGCGACGGCGGAGGGGAACTTAAACCGTCACTCTCTCGACCCGTCGACATCATCCCACACTCCTCGCCGCGTCGCCGCTCGCGCGCCATGCCCGCGAGCGACGACCTCACGCGCGCGATCGCGCGAGCGTTAAACGACGCCCAGATCTCTCTCGCGACGCACAAGCGCGGGGCGAAGACGCTGAGCGTCGTTCGGTCGAGCGACCCCGAACGGTTTTTACCAACGTTTTGTAACGCCGTCTTACCGGTGTTGCTCGAGTACAAGGTGCGTCGGACGCGCGAGGAGGCGGAATACGTCTATTATCATTCGACACGACGAGATCGTGCGGGCGGGGCGCGCGGTGGGGGTGGCGGGGGAGCGCACGCGTGTCGCGGATGATTTCGGGGCGACACGGGACGCGCTTCGGACGGAACGGAACGACTGACGATGGCGCTTCATCGTACGAACGATCCAGAGAGAGCTGTGCACGGAGCGGGTGGTTCGATTTATCGTGAGCTTCTGCGCCTGGCGTGAGCCCGGGTGCGAGGAGGATGCGGATGATTTCAACGAGGCGTTTTTGGGATTTTTGCTCAACCTGCACACGGCCAAGGACAAGGCGATTCGGTTTCGGGCGTGTCAGATCGTCGCGGGCGTGTTGAACGGCTTGGGCGCCGACGCCGAGGTGAGCGATGATTTGTACGAGCGCATGACGGACGTAATGTTGGAGCGAATTCGGGATAAGATGCCGGCGGTACGAGCGCAGGCGGCGCGCGCGTTGAGTCGTTTGCAAGACGGCGGAGAGTCGCAAGATTTCTCCCAGGACGAGATCACGCAGGCATTCGTGGAGCTCTTGGGGAGTGAGAAGAATAAAGAGGTGCGCAAGGCCATCTTGGGCTCGCTCGCAATCTCGGATTGCACCGTGCCGTGCGTGATCGAGCGCACGCGGGACGTCGCTGAGGACGTGCGGCGCATCGCGTTTCTCGCCCTCACGTCCAAGGTGCCGGTGGAATCGGTGTCCATCGCGCATCGTGCGCTCGTCTTGAAGCGAGGCCTGAACGATCGCGCCCGAACACAGCCGAGCGGTTCGGAAGACGATTCCGGCGCCCAAAGCGATTCCGACGCCGAAAGCGATCGCGGTGAACACGGTTCTGGCGCCCGCTGTCGAGGAGAGCGAGCGATGATTTTGTAACACGATGATTCGATGTTGTTAAAGCCGCGCGTTTACGACTTCACGACGATTTTGATGAATTCGTCGTCTCTGGCGTCGGCGTCGGCGAAGTCGTCGTCGAGCGCGTCGACGACGCGAGACCAGACGTCTCGGACGAAGGCGCGCTCGCGCTCGAGTCGGAAACCCGGTCGCTCTCCGACACCCAAAAAGTGCGCTCGCGGTGTCTCGCCGCTTTCGACGATGAAGTCGAGGTTCAGGAACAACGGAGCGCTGACGGCGGCGTACGCGTCGTATCGAGCGTCCTGGATGACGTTCCGCTCGTCCCGGACGGCGTCCCTGAAGGCGCGCATCACGATCTCAGCCTGGGCGATGATATCACTCGAAACGTCATCGATGCCCATGACGCGCGTGCACGCGTCTTTGACGTCGACCTCTCGCATCGTTGCGCTCGAGTCGCCACTCAGACCTCGATTCGTCATCTCTCGAGCATACATTTTGTCGTCGTACTCCGACGACGCCATGTCCGCAGTCTTGTCGTACGCGCTCGCCGCGGAGAGTATGCAAACGCTCTTTGCGATGAGAACGACATCATCGGCGGCAGCTTGATCTGGAACGAAGCACGCGCGCACGCGGACGGTGCACTTCCGTCCGAATTCATCCGTCGCGACTTCGCGAACGCGTCTCTGTGCGATGATCTCACCTCGCGTGCGCCTCGCCTTTCCGTCCGTGATTATCGCTTTGAAGTCTTTTAGAACGCCCACTCGATTGATTTTCTCCTCGACGACTCCGGGAAACTTCGCGTGCGCACCCTTGAGCACGACGACTTCGTCTAAGATTTCATCCGACTCGGTCAACGTTTCCAGAGAATCCGAGGTGAAGAGCGTCGGCGCGCGCACGAGACCGTCCACATCGCGATTAGCGATGATTTCGTACGCGCGAACTTTTGAATTGAGAATTTCGTGCCACTGCGGCCCAGCGCTTGCGGCGTTGAAAACCTCGAGAGACGCGAAGAATGAGTCGGCGCTCGAATCGTCTTCTCGACACGCGTCCCGCGCGTCTCTCCAAGTCTTCGCCCACATCGACGCGCCCTCATCGTCGGCGCAATCGTTCGCCAGCTTGCACAATGGATAAATCGCCATGACGCCGGCGCCCGCGTGGAGGGCTTGCGTGTACAGACTCGTCGGTTCGGCGGAGTATCCGGTGAGATGTAACGCGTGCGCGAGTGAGAACAGCAACAGAGGATGCTTTCCTGGTTTCGTGAATTTTGCCTCGGGCCCACCGAGCTTGGCGACGCGCATCAAATGAATCGCGCTCGAGATTGCGCCGAACTTGTTCACCGATAGTCGCGCCAGCGACACCCACGCGTCGGCGAAATCAAACGAGACGCCGACGCACTTGGCGTATTCCTCCTCGGCTCGATTGTACAGTCCCACGTCCTCGTACATCTGCCCCGCGAGTGCGTAGGCGAGAAAGCACCCAGGCGTGTGATCGTACGCCGCGGTGACGCGCTCGATCGCGCTCGCGACGTACCCGTGCGCTTGATACACCATCGCGAGCTGCAGAGACGCCTGATAAAAATCCGGCTCCAGAGCGAGCGCGCGTTCCATCTTTTCCGCGAACGCCATCGTCAATTCTCTCCCACGCGTCGTACCTTCGGGCGCCATCGCGAGCGTCTTCGCGTCTTCGATCAGCGCCTTCACCCTGGGATCGCGTTCACGCTCCTCCGCCTCGCTCTGCACGCGCGCCAGCTCCGCGTCCTTGCTCGCCTCATCCATCCCCGCGCGTCGATCCGACGCCGCATCCTTCTCGAGCTCGCGCTCGATCGCGTCCAGGTTCTCCACGCACGCGCGCGCGCGCTCGATCGCGTCCTCCGACCCCCCCTCGCGTCCCTCGATCGATCGCTCCAACGTCATCCGCATCGCTCGCGCCGCATCCATCACGCGCACCGGGTCCCCATCAAGCGCGTCTCGCGTCGCCCGTCGTCGCGTCGCCGCGTACCCCGATCGCTCGTGCGCGTACATTTATTTTTTCTCGCCCGCGTCGCGGCCGCGTCGCGGCGTCCCGTCGCCCGCGCGCGCGTCGACGCGGTCGCGTCGCGTGCGTTACGGTGGCTTTATAAAAAAAACGCCTCTAGGGTCAACGCCACATCCATGCGCGTGCTCGTCGGCGCCGCCGATTGCGCGCGCGCCGGCGTCGCCGTCGTCCTCGCCGGGTTCGGCGACGGGCGCGATGGGACGTTCGCGTCCGTGACGTCGATGCGGGACGTCGACGACGACGCGACGCGCGCGGGGGCGGGGGTGGAATCATCGAGAATGTCTTCTGAAGACATCTGTGCGATGGCGTCGACGCCGGACGTCGCGCTCATCGCGGTGAACGCGCGGTGCGACGGGAGCGATGGCGCGGCGTTGGTGTCGTACGCGGTGCTGGAGGCGATCGAATCGATCGAGGACGTGACGGAGGTGTGTTTTATATGCGCGACGCGGGACGAGGCGCTGGAGCTCGAGCGGAGAGACGAGGAAAGTTTTCTGGCGTACGAGGACGTGCGTAACGGCGCGCGGTGGTCGGACGATGTTGGGATCGTGAAACGACCGCTGGGAGAGCGTGGGGTGAACGGAGGGGACGGGGTGTTGGCGATCGCGCTCGCGGCTTTGGACGCGCGCGGGACGCGCGTGCGGGCGTTGTACGCGCCGGCGCACGCGCGGTGCTCGACGAGCGAGGCGCTGAGGGTGACGCACGGGTTAGGGCGCGCGGTTGAGAGAAGTGCTTTCGGTTTGGTCGGGTACGACGCGGCGGCGGTGGAACGTTTGGTGCCGGCATCGTCGGGGGATCGAGAGACGAACGAGTCGCTGTACACGTGAATCGCCGTGGTTGAAATAGAACAAAAAAAGAGCGAGTCGTTTCACACACACGTATCTACGATCTCGGCGGTGGCGGCGGTGGCGGCGGTGGCGGTGCGCGGTTCGCGCCGCCGTAGCCCTGCGGCATCATGATCACCGGTTGTCCCTGCGCGTCGTACGTCACCGGGACGTACATCG